CTACCTTTCTTCTTTCTCTTTTTTTTTTTTCCCTTTCTCTCCTATTTCCCTTTCTTTTCCCTTCCTACTCTCTGTTTTAGGTTTGCTAGGGGGAGGCAAGGGCCTTTTGGCCCCCCCCCTCCCAGATCCACACATTGTTGGCGGGATTAATCGCAACTGTTCTCCTCTTCTTATCACCCTTTTCTTTTCTTCTTCCTCTTTTTTGTTCCCTTTTAGCTCTCCTCTATCCCTTTCCCTTCCTTCTCCTTTTTTTTTGGGGGGGGGGGAGGGAGGAGGAGGCAAGGGCCTTTGCCCCCCCCCCCCCCCCCCCGAACTACAACTTGTTGGCGGGAAAATTGCAACTGATTTCCCCCTTCTTTTCTTCTTCCTCTTTTTTCCTTCTCTTTATCCCCTCTTTACTTTTTTTCTTTCCCTTTCCTTCCTTCTCTTTTATTTTTTGATGGGGGGAGGGGGAGAGGTTACAGCTGGGAGGCAAGGCTCTTTCGGCCCCCCGATCTCCTTCTTTTCCCCCTTTTCTTTTCCTCTTCCTCTTCTTTCTTTCCCTTTCTCTCCTTTTTCCTTCCCTTTCTCTCCTTTTCCCCTTCTTTTCCTTCTTTTCCTTCTCTCTCTCTCTCTCTTTTTATTTTTGCGGGTGGGGGGGGGGGGGGGCCCCCCTGGATCCGTGCCTGCCTGTGAATGTGATACTCGTAGTCGTACAGAGTCTCATAGCTGTCTAACAAATTAAAACATGATCCCCCCAAATTAGACTACACTGTATACAGGCGTACGTATAGTGGTGCCTGTGTGTTTCTTAAACTCTTTGTTGGCTTAGCCTAATTTGCCTCTGCTCTAGGCTCTATCTTTGAATTTTTGTTTGCTGTAAACACGATTAAGTTTTCTCTGTCATATATAGATCTAGGTCCATATCTATTTTGCGTTTTTTCAATTTGATAGAATGAACAGTTACGAGACATGCATCTAGATCATCTAGAGACTGTAGATCAACTAGATCTGGATCAAGGAATTGAATATAAATTTCAATGTTAGATAATGAAGGAGGGCTTTTTTGGTAAAGAGAAAATCCAAAAGAGAACAGTTAATTCTGCAAATGCTCATCAATGTTTTAATGATCATGCTCATTTCCTTTTATTCTAAGAATTAAACCCCCCCCCCTCTCTTTTACAGGAAAATGTACAGAGACTTGTCACAGTTAATGCAGTACCAAATGCTTGCTTTCTTGGAGTATGTGCTTGAAACAAGAATGTCCTGGAGAAAACAGACCACCACAAGAGAAGGTAAACATATTTACTTTTGATCTAACTTGATCTGTTTAGTTTTTTTCAAGTAAAACAAAATTTTGATGGGTGAGGTCAAGGTCAAACTGAAGGGGATGCAAAGGGCTGGTTTGAGAAGTATGTATTCATGGGATGGCTATGTATGAATCCACATGTCTACTAACACGTTGCTGAAGTGTTTCTCTTTTTAGAATTAACATTTTAAGCTCATGTGCGGGGGGAAAGGGGGGGGGGGGTCCAATACATGAAAAGGAACGACAAGCAAAAAAAAACAAAAAAACAATTGACCTTCAAATTTTGCTGAAAAAGTAAACGTTAAAGACAACTAAAATATTAAATAGTGCTATTTATTTCAAATTTGGTTAATATTTATTGAATTGTTTATAATTCTGTTCCAGGGATTGAGAAGGAGGGCTTCCTGTTGACAGATCAGGGGGTGCCTTGAGGTTCCACTCTTGATGTTCTGCCCCTTACCTGAAAGCGATGGCCTCTTGTGCCTGACATATTAGGAGCAAAGCACAATGGACTGGTAATTAATAATGAATATTACAATGGTTTTTTTAAAATCTGGTAAAGAAACAGATAAAGTCATAGCAAGTGAGCCTGTCATGGCATTTCGAGTGACCAAACATTTGCTCCTGCAACGACTGCTCAAGGCTTTATTTGTCAAATGTGTAGGGTTAGGCCGAGGGTTGCAATTGGGATTGAGGTTAGGTATAGGGTAAGGTCTAGTGTTGGATCCCGGGATGAAGTTAAGTATTTGGATAATAGTGTAGGAAATTGATGTTGAGCAAATGTCTTGAGGAACAAGTGTCGTACAATCAGATTTTCCAGGTGCTGGTGGAGCTGTATGTATTGATACTCATCATTGGCAGTTTAAAAATCTTCCTTTGTATTAGTAAACTAAAAATACGCTGACCCCCAGTTTGTGAAACGTGTATCTGATTTTTACGACCTGCTCTATTGTTTAGTGGTTATGTTGTAACACAAAATGAATTCTTAATCTTAATCCTGGATCCATAGCTAAACGTAATATTAACCCTAAAGCTAATCTAAAACCCTATCACAACTTGAGCAATAACCATATCTTGATGAAATAAAGCTTGTGTTAAGCATTGGCAGACCCAAAGTCAGGTTATCCTAAATTCCTTTCTACATACTGCTATTGTACAAAGTTGATATTTAAGTACATCCCATTGCAAGTTCTAAAATTTATGTAAAAACCTTACCCTGCTGCAAGATGATAGTGTGTGAAGTAAGTTGGCTCATAGTAGAGCATGAATTATTACCTGCAATTCTCAACCAATACACCCTTGCCACCTGCAATCCATCTCACTTTCATAATATATTCTTTAAACAACATTAACTGAAGTTCAAAATTTTGATTAGTTATCAAGAAAGGCTACAAAGAATTGTATTTTTTTTCACACTCGTATAATAGAGGGGGAGGGGGGGGGGGCAGGCTAGCAGTACAACATCAAATTATCTTATATGATTATATCCTGCAAGTGTGATAAAGAAAAATATGTTTGTGTACTAAAAGTGAAACAAAAACAAATCACTGGAAACTTTTGGTTGTTAATAACTCAAAAGTTACACTCAAATCAAAACGAGGTTTTCAAAGCTTAAAGTTTAAGGATGTAAATTCTATGCCATTTCTATGAATGCTAATTGCCATTCTTAAAGCCCCACTGTCCTACTTGCTCTCTCTATATAGAAAACTTCCCCAATCGGTGTCTGTTGGTCCCCCATGATCCTCTCTTATGTTAGTTGAGAGCTGAGTTGATGAGATAGCCACCTGTCAGTGACCTGGCTGGGTGGTCTAATCCCTTCTGGCCCAGTAGTATTGACGGTCTTTAAAACAATGGTCGGAATGTTTGATTAGATCTTTTACTCAGACATGTAGTATATTAGTAATCAAATACATGTTTGGCAATATGGTATTTCATTTCAGACCATAATGAGAAGTAATATTTTAATCTGGGATCTCTCGTTGGCACAGAAAATAAGGAATGTACTCCTGTTGAGCAAACAGTGAATTTATATAAAACTAATAGCCCTTTGAAGATTACTAGAAGAAGAAAAACAACAAGAAAGAAGAAAAAGAAATATACTTGTGATGTCAGCTTTAGATCTTAAAGTGCTTGTAACAATATTGGATTTTTTTTTCTTCTTTCAATTAACATTTTATTCATGAACAGCTGGCTTATTGGAATTGCATGGTTACAAAGATACAAGTGGACTTGTCTGTAGTAGTTGCTGAAGAGGAGCAGTCAGCACAAGGAGCGTGTGCCTCCAAAACGAGGTGGGAACTTCTCCCAAGTTCATCTCAAATCACAAGGCTCTTCAGGAATCAAGATGTAACAATGGAGGTTGAGAAGGAGTTTGCGACCCTCCAGATTTGGACTACTCGCTATATACATTCTCAAACAATGGATTGTAGCACTTCTGCACAAAACTCAACAAGTCATGATTGAGGAAAACGCAACAAATACTCAGTTGAGCATTGATTTATGTGACTGGTATTAGGGTAGGTTTCAGCTTGGTAATTTTATATAAACTATGTCCCAAAAGAACCTCGTTGGTCCTTATGGTTCCACGCCACAAGCTGCTCCCTCCCCTGTTTCGGTATACCGAACCCAGACTATCAAGGGATCAAATGAATTAAAATGCACACTTGATTACAAATGAATTGATCTTTTGAATATTGTCATCATTTCAGGGTGGTTTTGGTTACGGGTTAGTGTGAGCTTTCTGTGCGTAAAATTGAGGGTACGGAGATCAGTGAATGGATATTTCATGTACAATGCAAGAGAGGTGTCTATCTTCATTGGAATTCAGGATGTGAATTCCAATGAAGATGGCTTGTTTATAAGGAGAGAAGCCAGATAGATTGATGTAAACTTAATGACATCAGGGAATGTTTGCCTGTATTGTTTGAATGACACGGATATTGAATAACATGAAGTTAAGTGGAAAGAATGGCATAATATATTCGATTTGTACACCATCCTATTGAATTTTTTTTTAAATAGCATTATATGATAACATTTGTGCACAGGTCTATGGAAAACCAGTAAGTGGCATATACAATAAGATCATTTACCGCAGCTCAAGGAATACCGTAGATATCACTTACCGCAGTTGCTGCTATTTGTGCCCACATGCATATTAATATCAAACAGTTGAAGCTAAAACTAATATAATCTAATTAACAGGGTTTTTTTCTCCCATTATCATAACAAGAGAGAAAAACATACTTTTATAATAACTTCCATTATTTCTTTATTTGATCCACGAGACCGAGTAGTCCAGCCCTTGTGAAACTGTATGTTCTCCAGATTTCATTGTCAGGGCCTATCAGGGGGGGGGGGGGGGGGGCGGATCTAGCTTTTTGCTAAGGGGGGGGGGGGTTGTCCCTATGACGATGCAGAGCATCGCCCACGAGCCGCATTGCGGCGAGGCGATTAATGCATTTATAAGATGGATTTTTAAATTTTTTTTCTTTCTCTCTCGCTGTCTCACTGCATTATAAATTTTTCATTTTCACGACATCAACATCTCTCACCATTAAACAGTTCTCTCATTTCCTTTCCTTTCTCTTTTGCTCTCTCTCTCTCTCTCTGAACTCTCACCTTCTGTTTCCAGATTTTTTCCACATATGATTCTATTTATCCAACCATATATGCACACTAAAAAGAAAAGATATGAAGGGAATACTGTATATAAGATAAGAAACATGTTTAATTTATTCATTTTATTACAACAAACTAATATGTTTACAGATTATAACATTGATGGTCAAATATTAAGCACAAATGACCTCATCTGCTACTTCCATTTGTAGATTACTTTTTTCTTTAAAAATTCAACAAAGCATACTTAGGCTAAATCTGAGCACTATTTTTTTCTCCAGGGAATGTATTGTATCATGACCTGCACCCTTCATTATAAAACACATTATAAAAACATTTCTTAAAAAAAAAAAAAATACCTATGACTCAATGACTGCAATTTTTTCCAGAGAAACAATAATACTGTACAATAGTATATAACATCCTTTAGTGTGATGGTTACTCCGTGGTCCACACACGCACCAAGGTATATCAGACCTTTTATTAACAGTTGCTTGTTTTATACAATATATAAATCATACTCATAGGCCCATTCCCAAATGTTATAATTATTATCAATAAACAGAAATTGATAAAAGATGACCCCTCCCCAAAACTCTTATATTCCAAAAGTTTGATCTTGGCTGACAGGTGGTAACTTGAGTACTTGACTACATCTTATTTGCCCTATAGACACAATATACAAGGTGATTAAAAAATTAAACATACTGCTTGCAAGGTGAAGTTACACGTACTGCTTGAAGAGAATTGTGAATGATATTTATCTATTGGGAGTTTGACAAAATCCAGGTTCAAAAATTCAGCTTCGGAGGGGGGCACATTACCCCTCAACCCACCCCCCCCCCCCCCCCCTGTGCGCGCTTTTGACTGATGTGTCCCCCCAGGAGTGGCGGAGCATCTTCCAAAGTGGGGGGGGGGCACCAACAAAATAGGCACTTTCTGGAAAAAAAGGGAATCTCAAAGCGAAAATATCCATTTTTTAGACAAAGGTATATACCCCTACATTGTGATTACATTATCAGGGACGATTTCAACATTTGTTTCTCTTTATACACCATACATATATATCTTTAGTTCATGAATTAGTTGTTATGTGTAATTTTGTTGTATTAATATTGTAATATTGTAAAGCGCATTGCTATTTTCTTCGAAGATGAAATGCGCTATATAAGTCTAGGTTATTATTATTATTATTATACAAGATATTGCAGTACAAAAAATTGCATCTTATTAAGAGGGAAAAACCCAATCCTGATGGGGTTATAAGCACATTCTCACAATGGAAGACTGAAAAGACCTTTAATAAGTAACGTAATTATATCATCTATAAATGCGAGCGAGCTTTGGGGGAAGTTACTCTTAGTCGCTTGAAATTAGGGGCGCGTTTAATGATGAGAGGAAAAGGGGACACTAAAGGGATAAGGGGAAAAGGAGCATGTGTCATGTAAAAAGGGTAATTATCAGAGGTGAAAATGGGGCACTTCTTACACCTACAGAAAGAGGCACTCACCAGGAATGAAAAAAGGCACTTATGAGAATGGGAATTCTCACGTGATTGGGAATACTTGATAACCCTATAGTCTAAGTTTCATTGACTAAAAACTTAAACTTTGAAAATTATATCAAAAATTCAAAAACTTAACCTTAGGTTAAGTTTTTGATGTTGACGCCGTCGCCGCCGCCGTCACCGGAAAAGCAGCGCCTATGTCTCACTTTTTGCTTGTAGGCGAGACAAAAAGGGAGGTGCAGATCAGATTTTAATAGGGGCATTTATTGGAGGTGAAAGGGGGCTATTCTGAAAACGGGGAAGTGGCTCTTATTAAAAAGGAAAAGAGGCACATGTTAAAGTAAACAAGGCACTTATGAGAGATGAAAAGGGGTAATTATGAGAAGGGTAAGGGGTACTTATGATCAGAAAAAAGAGCATTTATTAGGAAGGAAAAGGGGGCGTGTCAAATAAAAGTGGCAGTTATTAGAGACAAAATGGGACACTCATCAGAGATGAAAAGAGCACTAATCAGGAGATGGAGGGGGCACTTATCAAAAGTGAAAAGGGGCATTTCTCGTAGTTGAAAAGGGGCACTTACTAGAGATTAAAAAGGGCAGTTATGAGAATGGAAAATGAACACTTATTGCATAGAATAATGGGAACTTGTCGAAGGATAAGGGGCACTTATCAGAGGTGAAATGGGGAAGGGGCAATTTTACAAATTTATAGGGGAACTTGTCAAAGTAATATGGCACTTTACCTATGTGAAAAGGCCATAAAAGGGGCATACTGGGGGTACTTGAAAAAGTGGGGGGGCACTGACCCCTCCCCCCTGGCTAACAACATATCTCCGCCACTGGTTATGAAGTTTATAATACCAAGGTTTTGATACCCAGTCGCAGCTCCAGCAGTTCATTGAAGAGGCTAAGTAGAACTTCATAGTCCATACTGTACATGTATGTCTGTTGAATGAAAAGAGAAGAGAATGAAAGTAAAACATTGATACCTACTTCATACATGTATCTCTGTTGTAACATAAAAATGTCTTGCATGTACATTGTAGGCCTAGGCCTCAAATTTTTTCATGTGGAATCATACATAGCCATCCCATTAATACATACTTCTCAAACCAGCCCTTCGCATCCCCTCCAGCTTGGCCTTGACCTCACTCATTTCAAAATGTTGTTTTACTTGAAAAAAATAAACAGATCAAGTTAGATCAAAAGTAAATATGTTTACCTTCTCTTTTGGTGGTCTGTTTTCTCCAGGACATTCTTGTTTCAAGCACATACTCCAAGAAAGCAAGCATCTGGTACTGCATGCATTAACTGCGACAAGTGTCTCTGTACATTCTCCTGTAAAAGAGAGGGGGGGATTCAATTCTTAGAATAAAAGGAAATGAGCATGATCATTTAAACATTGATGAGCATTTGCAGAATTAACTGTTCTATTTTAATTTGGATTTTCTCTTTACCAAAAAAGCCCTCCTTCATCCTTCATCCAGATCTAGTTGATCTACAGTCTCTAGATGATCTAGATGCATGTCTCGTAACTGTTCATTTTATCAAATTGAAAAAACGCAAAAAAGGTATGGACCTAGATCTATATATGACAGAGAAAACTTAATCGTGTTTACAGCAAACAAAAATTCAAAGATAGAGCCTAGAGCAGAGGCAAATTAGGCTAAGCCAACAAAGAGTTTAAGAAACACACAGGCACCACTATACGTATCCCTGTATACAATGTAGTCTAGACTGAATATCTTGTTTTTGGGGGGATCGTGTTTTAATTTGTTAGATAGCTACAAGACTCTGTACGACTACGAGTATCACATTCACAGACAGGCACGGCCGAGCGGGCCTTGGCCCCCCCCCCCCCCCCCCCCCATCCGCAAAAAAAAAAAAAAAAAAGAGAGAGAGAGAGAGAGAGAGAAGGAAAGAAGGGAAAAAGGAGAGAAAGGGAAAGAAAGAAGAGGAAGAAGAAAAGAAAATGGGGAAAAGGAGATCGGGGGCCGAAAGGGCCTTGCCTCCCAGCTGTAACCTCTCCCCCTCCCCCCATCAAAAAATAAAAGAGAAGGAAGGAAAGGAAAAGAAAAAAGTAAAGAGGGGATAAAGAGAAGGAAAAAGAGGAAGAAGAAAAGAAGGGGGAAATCAGTTGCAATTTTCCCGCCAACAAGTTGTAGTTTGAGGGGGGGGGGGCCAAAGGCCCTTGCCTCCTCCTCCCTCCCCCCCCCCCCCCCCCCAAAAAAAAAAAGGAGAAGGAAGGGAAAGGGATAGAGGAGAGCTAAAAGGGAACAAAAAAGAGGAAGAAGAAAAGAAAAGGGTGATAAGAAGGGGAGAACAGTTGCGATTAATCCCGCCAACAATGTGTGGATCGGGGAGGGGGGGGGGCCAAAAGGCCCTTGCTTCCCCCTAGCAAAAGGAAAGGGAAATAGGAGAGAAAGGGAAAGAAAAAAAGAGAAAGAAGAAAGGTAGGGGAGATCAGTTACGTGTAGATCGGGGGGAGGGGCACTGGCGTACTGATGGGGAAGGGGACTTACTGTAGGGGAGGGGGTTGACAGATGCCCCCCAAATATAATTCAAACGTGGTTTATTTCTAATTCGATACCGGTGATTACCGGTGATTTACAAATGTTGCTGAAATGACATAATTTTCTAATAATAATAAATTATACTTTTTAATGCGTTTGTGGGACAATGGCAAATTTATAAAGAAAGAAAGAATAGTGACGCCAATTAGTGTCCTGCCAGTGTCACAAATAAGGTATGCTAATAGTAATATGCTCATCTGACCGCAATTAAATGCCTATACCCCTGAGCTTCTGGGGGTTCCACCCCTTGACCCCCGCACGTTCTTTGCCCTTAGACACCACGCCAATTTCACAACGCTCTACTTGATCGTAAATACCTCCCCCCCCCCCCCCCCCCCCCCCTCACCTACTTAGAGAAACGTTTAGCGGAACCTGCATGTAAGAGTGGGGTGGTGCAGATTCTTTTCAAATTTGGGCCCCCCCTAAGAAATCCTGGATCCACGCCTGTTCACAGGTAGTCCAATTATTTACTGGTCTGTAGGCCGAACTTTGTTAGGCCTCAAATTTTCTACTCTCGTACTCGTCGCGTCTAACTATCTCGGTATCTGGTCTAAATTTTGGCGCTTGTTCATGTCAACTGTGACCATGCTTTTTAGTGTTAGCTATTAACTTTCTTCTGACCTAACTATGAAAGTAGTTTTTTCAACAGTTGGACCTAAAAGTAACAAAAAGCTTGTATCATTGATGCAGCTAGCGCTAGTGAAGTGATCTGCCTATAGACCCTATACTCGTATCTAATTTTCAGAGAGGGTCTCGCCCGAAAGTTTGGGCCAAGGATCAAGGAGTGACGATGGCAATCGAGCTGCAATATTTCTCACGACGATAAATAACGAATCAAAAGTTCGAGTGTAGATTACTCCTAAATTCATCAGATATAACCATTTTAAACCACTTCATAATATACAGACATATCAGCAGATTCATACCTACAGCAGATATGTTTATAAATATGATTCAATTTACGAGATTTGAACGTAATTACAGCTGTACTCACCATCAAACTTTCAAAGAAAACTTCGAGCTCTCACTCTGCTGTGTGGGTGACGTCATACATTAAATATGCATGCAGCGAAAGTCTTGTCTTCAGATCAGGCAATCGTACATAAAAACTTCCATCACAGATAGAAAAATTTCTTATTAAAATAATGAGGATGATTACAGTTATCAATCATTATAACCAAATCTGCATACAAATAAGAAGGAGAATGGTGATACAGAGACTTATTTACCGAACGTAGGATTTCTGATAAGAATGCACAAAGAACACAAAATGGAAAGGTGCCTGGAATAGAGGATAATAATATCAGTCAAGCTCATGAATATTCATATTATGGGCGTTACCAACCATTGACATTTGCATACACAATCGTTATTTAATATATAATGGAAATGCGCTTTTCATTATATATTATATAATGGAAATGCGCTGTTCATTATATATTATATAATGGAAATGTGCTTTTCATTATATATTATATAATGAAAATACGCCTCTCATTATATATTATATAATTGAAATATGCTTTTCATTATATATTATATAATGGAATGTGCTTTTCATTATATATTATATAATGGAAATACGCTTTTCATTATATATTATATAATGGAAATGTGCTTTTCATTATATATTATATAATGGAAATACGCTTTTCATTATATATTATATAATGGAAATGTGCGTTTCATTATATATTATATAATGGAAATACGCTTTTCATTATATATTATATAATGGAAATGGCTTTTCATTATATATTATATAATGGAAATGTGCTTTTCATTATATATTATATAATTGAAATACGCTTTTTATTATATATAAATAATGAAAGTGTGAATTGTAATTATTTATAAATAATGGCAATTATATATAAATAATGAAACGTTCTTTGTCATTATTTATAAATAATAAAAATGTGTTAAGAATTATATACAAATAAAAATGTACATTTTATTGCATTATATGTAAATAATGGTTATTATTTGTTAAATAATGATTATATAACATATAATTTGTCTATATAATTGTTTTACAAACGGCGCCTCATATAGATGACCCCCTATTTTATTACCCGATCGAGAGCTATTTTGTACATAGTTATGTAATGCTGCACAGCAAATTAGCTAGCGCATACGCGATACGTACGTACCCAAATCAGGGCACACACGTGCGCTCGATGCCCATAGCAATGCCACCGCAATTCATTGGATGAAAGTTCACGCTTCCACCATGACGTTATCATTGTGTGCTTATTGTAATGCTAATCAGGATCCAGGGTCTTTAGGCGATTTAGAGGTAAGTTCAAATTTATTAGGTGACAATACCGTTATTAGCAACAATAAACACAATTTAGATCTAGAATTAACTTAATAAACTACTAAGTTAGACTAGTCTAACAGTTCACGACCACATTGTTCACGACACGCGGAGGCTCAGTCCATGACCATGTGAATATGGCATGCCAAAAAAGAAAATTGAATTAGATCTAGATCTAACAGTTAGAGTCTAATTTAAAGTTAAATCCTAGACCGAAGGTGTATGTGGGGGTACTGGTTGATTAATTTAACTACAACAACAGCAACAACTTAACTAACTACATGTAGTAACATTTAGATCTGGGGTTAATGATCTTAACTTAAAGGGAAAAAAGTAGCATCATATTCATAACAAGTTAGACTTCTAAAGTTAGAGTCTAACGTTATAGATCTAACGTTATATTCCTGTCTAGTAATAACTGATTGATTAAATCATCACAAAACATTTACCCCATCATCAGCATCAGTCGTCACATTGCAGGCGCGGATCCAGGATTTTCCAATAGGGGGGGCCGGAAATTTGAAAATTGCGCAGACAGTTTTTCAACTCAACATTTGGCAATACTGACAAGGTCATATTAGAAGCACCATACCGGTAATTTTTTTTGACATTTTCATCGGGGGGGGGGGGGGGGGGGGGGGGGGGGGGGGGGGGGCTGAAGCCTCTTGCCCGAAAAAGTAATGTTCTGGTTTCACAATTCGGCTAGTGAGCGAAGCGAGCGAGCAAAAATTTGAGGATAATATGTATTTTGTGAAAGTGTTATTTATTACCAAAATATACGAGAAAAGATATAACAAATTCATATTCGGGCAGCTCGCTGTCCCCTCCCCCCTCCTCCCCCCCCCCCCCCCCTATACGCGCGAAGCGCAGAAGCTTTAATGTTCATGAAATTATTAGAGAAAGAAGAGGATTCGTTGTACCGTTCTCGGTTGTTAATCATTGTCTGAAATCAGTTTCCCCCTCCGCGCAAAGCGCGAAAGCTTTGACGTTTCATTGAATTATTAGAGAAAAAAGATGATTCGTTGTTTCATTCTCGACTCTAAATCCTTGTCTGAATTCAGTTTTCCTCCTCCCGCGCGTAGCTTTGACGTTTCATTAAATCATTATAGAAAGAGTACCGTTCTCGACTCTTAATCCTTGTCTGAATTGAGTCCCCCCCCCTTCCCTCTCCCGCGCGAAGCGCGGAAGCTTTGACGTTTCACTAAATTATTAGAGAAAGAAGACGATTCGTTGTACCGTTCTCGATTCTTAATCATTGTCTGAATTCAGTTTCTATACCCCCTCCCGCGCGAAGCGCGGAAGCTTCGACGTTTCATTAAATCATTAAAGAAGAGTACCGTTCTCGACTCTTAATCCTTGTCTGAATTGAGTCCCCCCCCCCCCTCTACCGCGCGAAGCTGAATTCAGTTTTCCCCTCCAGCGCAAAGCGCAGAAGCTTAACGTTTCATTAAATTATTAGAGAAAGAAGATGATTTGTTGTCCCGTTTTAGACTTGTCAAAAATGTTTCTTTGTCTGCTCCTTTTTTCGTCCTATGTCCTCTTACTGCCCCTACCTCCCCTAGCTACGCATGCTTTAAAGGGAAAATGAAACAATCATGATTGTGATAGCATACAATTAGGTCAGTAGAAATGAAAGGGGAAAAAAGATCTATGTATACACCAACCATGAAATAATCGCGACCGGGAGCGTCATATCTTAGTTTTGTGTTATCGGGCGAGGGCCGGAGCGGAGCGACCAAGCGAGATTTTGCAATGTAGAATGCTGAAATTATGCATTCTAGAAAATCCTTTAGTCCAATATGTACGTTCTTTCCGCTACATGTATATTTCTTTCTTCCGGGGGGACGTACGCGTGTACGTGTCTCTCTATCGGGCCCAGGATCGCCGCCGCTGTCCATTATCACTACCTACATGAGTTCAAATATAAGCACAAGCGAGTTGGTATGAGCTGAATCTAAATAAAGGGCAAAATAAGAGTTGTGAAGCGGCCCTACCGTTAATTTAAAATTTGACTGTTTAGTATATAGCTTCTATTTGAAAGACATCCAAAACATTGCGCCCTTTTCAATTTTTTTCAAAAAGCAGGGGCTGTTTGTAACGTTTAACTTTGAATCCGTGGCTCGAGATTTTATGCGGCTGGCCCGGCCCCCTCTATTCAATAACGTTTCCCAAGCCTTCTGGAATGACCCCAAATCTCCCGATTACAGTTTTTCCCTTATTCGTCGTTACTGTCACTTAGCGCCATTTCCTTGCCTTTCCCCCTTTCTCACCCGACTTTTCTCTTCCCCTTCCCACCCCCCCCCCCCCCTCCCACCCACTCAGTGTTATCTAGGGTATGCGCATGTATGTTCCCTCTCTTAGTTTGAAAGCACCCCTTTATCTTCGGTGTGTAGAGTCAGTGCGGGCCGGATTTGTGTGTATTACGGGCCGGACTTTGTTGCGTGAAAAGTAACCCTTTATCGGAAATTTGGGGAACACAAAATCGGTCCCTCCGACCCCGGAGTGGGAGTGAGGTGGGGGGGGGGAGGATCTTCTTTTTTTTTTCTCTCTCTCTCTCTCTCTCTCTTCTTTCTTTTCTCTACTCTTTTCTTTTCTCTTCTCCTTTCTTTTCTCTTCTCCTTTTTTTCTTCTCTTCTCCTTTCTTTTTTTTCCCTCTTTTTTTTTTGCGCCGCCAATAGGGGGGGCCGCGGCCGTTTCGGCCCCCCCCTGGATCCGCCACTGCATTGTCATTCATAATTAGAATCAATTAAAAGTAAACAAAGACTAAGAACCTAGCTGGCAATCTCCTGAACTTAATTATGAATTTGTTAAAGTTTTAATTTTGTGATGTCACTTGCAAGCTACATTCCAGAAGGATAGATCTCTAACTTAGACTCCAGATCGATCCATATTACCATTTTACCTGTGCATTTGATATTATATCATTAGACACATGTTTATACACACACCTCTATGAAATAGATAGAATCTATATTCCTTCATAAAAAAAAACATGAAAAAGGGCAAATTAATGCCAATGGAATTTACAATGGGAAAGCAGCTCGCAAACTTTAAAAATTCATAACCTATGTTTCCCTTTGATGGATTTTAGTCAAACCTTCACTGATATGTTTATCTCATTTTTCTGCTTTTATTGAATCCAACTCAACTTCAGGGTGTACTTCCCCTTTAAACACAAGTATAGAGGGTCCACTTGTTTCACTTTGTGCCTTTTTTGTGGCCATTTAGTTTTGGAATGTGTTTACATTACCCACCAATGTCCTTCATCATGTCATAACCCCTGCAGCTTGTTCATCACGGGAGGGGGGGGGGGGGGGGGGGGGGGGGCGGGGGGAGGGTTGCCCCTCTTTCTCCCTGTATGGTTGTGGGGAGGAATATAATGTATGTTGTTATTTACGAAAGTTATGTATGCTCAAGAAACTCCTTGGTATGCTCAATGGCTGCTCCCTAGAATACTCGCCTTCTCCTTCACACCCCGCCCCCCCCCCCCTCCTTCCCTACCTCCTGTCTCCCCCTTGTCTTCATGTAAGTATATCCTGGCAAAACCACTGTATCCTTGGACACATTCAGTTTATTGCCATTTAACTCCCTTGCTGGAGATATAGTTAACCTTGTATAAATGGAAAGTTTTTTAATACTCCATAAAAATGCTAAGTTGTTGAAGCTTGGAGGAAATTTCCTCCAAGGTTGAAGAGAAATAATTTTAACCAGCTAGGGACTGCATCAATTAATAATTGTTACTGAATGATATCGATATTGGTTTATCTTTTTATTTACTAGAGTCTAATCATTGAATATTCATGATAAATTTCTGATTTTCCTTGGGGTGATATTGATATTAGTTTATCTCTTTATTTACTAATCCATGACTGCTCATGGGAAATTTCTAATTTTCCTTGGGATGATATTGATATTAATTATCTCTTCATTTACTAATCATTGAATATTCATGATAAATTTCTGATTTTCCTTGGGATAATCAAATTCAATTTTCTTTTTATGTCTTGTCTCTTTTTTAGTCATTCCTGCCATCACAATTTAAACATGAGGTTTGTAGCTACGAGACACTTGGTGGGGAGAGCAACTTCGAATGTATGCTGAGAATGAAAGTAAATAATCAGGATGAGGTTCAAACCTGGTTGGAAGCTTTCAAAAGCAGAACTGATTCAGTGACTTGGAGGCTGGCAAGAACATATCCAGACGCTGGTCGTTTCAACAGTTACAGGGTGAGATGGCTTTCAAATTACACTTTATACTGTAAACTCAATCAAATAAAGGACAATATGTTGGGCATTCTTTTTTTTATCCTCTGGGCAAAAAAAAAAATAAAAAATTGAGACTCGATCTAAATCTAAATCTGCATGGTGACCGAAAACAGAGAACAACAGTAATCTTTAAAGATCTATAGTTTTGACCATGCAAGGAAAGGCATTTGATTTTAGATGTCAGAGGCTGGTAGAAATGATAATGATAAGAATGCATTCTGAAGAATTGAGGAAATGTTTTTGTCTTTTACTTTTCTTTTTAAGTTGTCAATTTCAATAGACAACTTAATTCTCTGCAATGATCATGTTTCTGTTTATGGTTACGTTTGTCTTTCCTAATAGTGATTGCTCGTTTTATTCTTTATTTCTAATTCCATGCATGAAGTCCTTTTTTTCTTGTTCTTTTATGACTGAAGGTGGTGCCGGAGGCATATAACATTTTTTGTTGTCGTCCTGCTTTCCCGTTATCGCAATATTACAAGAAAAAGATTATATGAATTACAAAATTGATGATAGTAATTAGTGTGTATAACACTAGACCTATCTAGGCAAGAAGCAATCTGATTAGACTCTGGAGTAAGTATAAATGGTCAAGGGTCACAGTGGTCATTTTCTTAAGTAAATGGTTTTAAGGGCAGAGGCATGTAGGAGACACATTTGTATTTGTCTTGTTTTGTTTCATGTTTAAGGTTGACTTGCGATGCCAGCACAATACCAGACACACATCCAAACCTGGAAAGAGAACCAAAGATACCAAGTGCCCTGCCACAATGTCCCTTGTTCTGAAACGGTCCATTAAATATTCCAGGTATGCTTTTAAAATGAATTTCAGTCTTGTAAGTAATTATTATGTACCTTAGTGTTGCAATTGATGATAATTTACCCTTTAACATACAATTTGTATTGTACTCTGGAGAAAAAAAAAAGAAACATATTAGACAGTGGAGGTTTCAGGAAAATTGATAGTAATAAGAAAATTAGTCCTTGAAAGTTGAGATCACTAATATGTTATAAAAGTCCATGAGCAATGTGGTCACTGTGTGTGATGTCATGCATGGATAACTTTGTAAAATATTATTCAAAATATTCTTTTCCCAATACAACAGACTTGTTGTCCACGGTGTATGGCTAACATATTTTTACATGTCTTCTCATCGAAAGAATATCTGGTCTACAAAAAGATTTGGGGAAAAATTAATATAAATGGGTACAATTAAAGGAAATGTAATTGTTTTCCCTGTATAACACATGATCATGGTCGCATTACCAATGTGAAGACTAGTGGTCTCAACTTTTAAGATGTCATATCATTCTCATTCATTGGCTTATTTGTTTGAAATGTTGTGTTTCTCTTATTTCTTTCTATTCATCCAAGCCAAATTTTTCTTGATCATGATCATTTTCAACAAATTTGGTGACTTTTCGTAAAATTTTGTGGTTGTATGACATTTCGTGTTGCCATGGTAACCACAAATTGGCAACCATGTCACTGAAATAATATTCATTTTGACAATTACTTCACAAAAATGTGGAGGATATGAAAGACTAATTTGGGTCAAAATGGTATGCATTGTGCACAAATAAAGTTCCTGGCAGATAATTTGATTCTTATCAATAATTTTACTTATTTTTCGTCTCAATTTGTTTTCTTTTTAATTACAGTATGCTGTCTTTGGATGAATGAATATTTTGATTAATGCTGATATTATTGTAAAGTAACAAATAGAAATAATATGACCACTCTTATTCGGGTGACTTTTGACTAGGTCCAAAAATCCTCACATCACGGCAGGACTTCTGTTCACTGTTACCTTGAGGTTTGAACACAACCATCCCCTCTCTTGCGCCAATGCTGTTAGGAGGAAAGACGTTTCTGAAGCCACCGTTGCCAAGCTGAAAACCTTGTTCGAAAATGGACACTCTCCCTCTTCGGCGCTTGATACGATGAAGCATGACCTCCAGGAGGTGCACGGAGACCAGTACGTCTTTGTTTCTACAGACCGCTCTATCTGCCCAGACCTTCATTTTTGCTACAGGCAAGTCATCAAAGCTAGTACATAGATCAATCTTAAGAAATCTTACAAGATTTAAAACCTCAAAATTAGGAGTAGGGCCTATACATGCAATATTTTTATACCTCCGCCACCGAAGGTGGTGCCGAAGGCATCATGATGTAATAGTATTAGGGTTGTCCGTCCGTCCTGCTTCCCTGTTACCGCGATATCTCAAGAACCACTTGAGATATAAACTGCAAACTTGATGAGATCACTACAGCAAGACAATCTGATTAGATCTTCAGAGTAATTAGGTCAAAGGTCACATGGGCCAATTTCTGAAATTATTGGTTTCTATCTTTTCTCGTTGTTTTTACCCTTCTACCATCTCCTCTTTCTATCTTTCCTCGTTGTTTTTACCCTTCTACCATCTCCTCTCATTGCTTTTACCCTTCTACCATCTCCTCTTTATATCTTTCCTCTTTGTTTTTACCCTTCTTTCATCTCCTCTTCTAACCATGGTTGTAAAATTTTAGGGCCAGAGGGAATTCCGTAGCCTGGGTTCTGCAAATTTTATGTTGATAATACAAAATGTGATTATTCATGAAAGCAATTCTGAATAGAAAAAAAGTAGTCTTTAGCAAATTGGTTACTAGATTATGAAACATACCTATTAGATAATGAAACATAATCTAGACCATGTAGATTGCAAGATGAAATGTTGGAAACATACAAACAAAATTATTTGTCATCAATTTAAACAGGGATACATTATTTTTTGTGTGCAATATTGAATTTAGGTTGTTTCTGTCCTGAAAACAAAAACTTCTTTAAAAAATTCATGGGGATTAAGGAAATAAATTCATACCAACATTTTAATATAAGAAGAATTGAGAATATCATCGCCTAATGAAAGTATAATTTTTTGCCTTCAACAGGTTTTACTACAAGCTATTTGAGCAATCATACGGCGCAACATCTGGTGAGCAAATGTATGTAGATCTGGAGAGCAGGATACATCAATATAATGAAGAACAGCACCAGACGTGTGCAAAAATTGAGCAGACATCGGACAACCAAACTGTCATTGCCATATGTACACCTGTCATGAAACGAGTGCACGGCAAAGTGAAACACAGTGGAGAGATGGTTTTTGTTGACTCTAGTGGTAACTGTGACAGGCATAATAGCCGGATTTTCGTAATGTTAACTCATTCATCTGCAGGAGGGCTGCCACTAGGGATCGTAGTGACGACTTCAGAATCGCAATCGACCATAACAGCTGGTTTTGACCTCTTGAAGTCTATACTACCTGAGGATGCATTCCATGGAAGAGGTGTCAATGGTCCTCAAGTCGCCATGACGGATGACTGCAAGTCGCTTCGTCAAGGACTGCATGCAGTTTACCCAGAATGCTCATTGATACTGTGTGTCTTCCATCTTCTGCAGGCAATGTGGAGGTGGTTGTGGGATGCGCATAGTGGCATCCGAAAGCAAGACCGTCCCTATCTTCTCAGACTCTTCAAAAGTCTTGTGTATGCTGAGAGCCTTGGTGACCTGAATGCACGGCAAGATCATCTGGCGAATGATGAAATCGTTCGCAAGTATCCCAAGTTCCGGGCCCATGTAGACACGGTATACCAGAGACGTGAGGCGTGGGCACTGTGTCTACACAAGGAGCTACCAACGCGAGGGAATGTGACCAACAACTTTGTAGAGAGCGCTATGAGGATCATTAAAGAGAAGGTCTTTCAGCGCTTGAAGGCGTACAATGTCACGCAAGCGGTGCACTTTCTCTGCACCCGGATGGAAGACTACTACATTCGTAGGCTGATCGATGTTGCCAACAACAGGATGGCTAACCCTTCCCAGTCAAAGTACAATGCACGCGATGGTGATGTCAACTTGGACAATATCGTCAAGGTAAACAAAAAGAATATGAGAATGCAGCGTTTCAATTAACTTATTGTGATAATTTTTTTAAACAGATAAAAGGTATAGTCATGGTTGATTTGTTAATGAACAATACATCTTTATTTTCATCAAAGTTATTGACTAATGTAGATGAAGATCAAAGATAGATATTCAAAGGATAAGTTTATTCCCTTAACTTTTATTATAAGGACATTATGTTTGAACTTCAATTTACATACAGCGAAGTGAGATTATCATTTAAAAAAAAAAAATTAATTGATTACCATAAAGATTTAGTAATCATGAAAAATAATTTTCACTTTTAAACACACATTATATTTTTGTCTGTCTTGCATGATCTCTTTATATACCTCTCCCCTTTCTTTCATCTCTCTGATATACTTTCTTGTTTTTAATTGTCTTATTATTTGTAGGAAGGTGACACAAGCTTCACTGTACCTAGCGCATCATCAGGGAGACTGTATCATGTCGATATTTTCTTGGGTACATGCACCTGTCCGATTGGAATCACCGGTGGACCATGTAAACATCAGAGTGCAGTCACAAAGAAGTTCCATGTTGAGAGCACAAACTTCTTACCAACATTTTCACCTAATCTGAGGAAAATGTATTATATCATTGCAACAGGTAAACTCAATAGTGACAATTGATGTACAGCTATAGAATTCGGATTGTTCTTTTTATTTGGAAGAACACATAGAAAACACAGTTCAACTCTTTGATAATTAATGGACAAGTTGATAGTGGTAGGGAGAGTGTACTGTCTTTTGTTAATTTTATAATACAGTCTACTCCAACTATAACAGGCATGCATGATACAGCGGGTGCATGATACAACGAAATATTGTTATAACAAGGTGATTTCCCTGGTCCCAGTTTCAAACATGGCACATGCATGTTTCTATATGTGCTTTTGTGTTCATTATAGCAACATTTTATACGGGAGTGGACTGTATTATACATGCAATATCAGCAAAAATAGCACATATTGTTACTTTGATCAGGCTGTCACAGGATGTTATGTTACAATGGAGGATGTCTTCACTGGAACTCGAATGAATGTGAAAACCAAGTGTACATGTTTATGTGAAACCTTAAAACAAGTACAGTACCGGTACCAAGGAAAGACCATATACCTGTAAGTGGTCTATCAGAAAAATAAATCAAAATGTAAAAACAAAAAGAAAGAGGAGCAGAGGCAAAAATTAAAACCCCAAGTTTTATGCAAGTATGTGTCTGTTTTATTACCAAATTGAAAATAAGTAAACTTTAGATAGATAATGGAGAAATTGAAGTCTTTCATGAATAAATAAACCATTCTCTCTCTTAAAATATGTGTATATAATAATCCTAATGTTTCCATAATAATTGATTCAAAAAGTGTACACATGATTGTATGAGAATTAAGTCTGACCCTATCTATTCCGGTGTCTATTATATTGTCATGCAGGCAGAGATGATATACCTGATGATTGGTTCGCTAGTCTCCACAACGCTGATGATCAAGTTCCATCCAATGAGCACCAGGGGGACGATATGATGGGCCCAAGCACATCATCCATCCAAGATCCTCAGATACGTGCGATAGAGTCTCTGGGATTACAAAGGTCTTTCGACAATTCGTTTTCACAGAGGGGACGAAGGATCGAGACATCTGTTGGCGATGAAGATCTTTCTCAAAAGCTTCACAACTTTGTCGATACTCTAACAACCAAGCTGAGAGAAGATGGTGATTCTTTCAGAGGCCCCTTGACTAAGTTTGTCCGACGCGTTGAGAACATCACCACAGATAGCACTCTCATATCTGCCTTGGTAACATTTGGCAAGTACAGTGGCTATGCGGTTTCTAAGAAAGCAAAACGTGGCAACAGATCCGGCCTGCAAACTTCCACCCAGATTGGGGTGCAGCCCACTGCTGTAAGCAGGCGAAAGGCTGCTTTAGGTGGAAGAAGGGCATTAATTACTGGTCGCCCTGTAAAAATTAATCAAAAGGAGCATGGTTATGCTAAGGTGCAGAAGCGTGGTTCTGCAGTAAAGAGGGGTGTGCTTCCCCAAAATCCACGGCCTGCATCACATTCTCTATCTCATTGTGTTGAATCAAATGTTACACTGGGTAAGAGGCATTCAGCTGGGCATTAAAAGTGTTAGTTTGCCATATACATGTACATGTACGTTGACCGAGATATTCTGGAATTCATGGATGTAATATTTATTTTGTTGCATTTGAGGACTATATGTAGTACGTGTATTACAGTAATATGATCTTTACGTTTGATTATTGCCTGTTTCTCAGTTACAAAATAGTGTAGACAAAGCTAATTAAGATCATCTATTACACTTGATCTCTAGCCGCAGATGGACTGTGAGAAAAATCTTGAAAATTTACAGTCCCATATTTAAGTAAACATAATATCTCCTTTTATATATTTCATACATCTTTTCCAAGTTCAGCGGATTTTTGCACAAGAGTTTCGAATGATAGATAGATCCCCACCCAATTTTTTTTTAAACCTTAATTTTGAAGATTTATAACTTCCATGCGTATATATCTTTGCAAGCTGTCGGTGAAAACAATTTGACATTAGAATAAAATATTTTCTTTTAATCTTGTCCACGTTGGATTGGGCTTGCCCTGACATTTAAAATGAGCATTAGAAACATAAGTTTCATAATGAAACAAAAAGGAATTAAAAACAAAGGAATGAAATGCCAGTTTATGGGTAATGATATTTGAATTTAAGGACCCTTTTGGCTCAGAATACAAAGCGCTACTATTATTACCCAATCATTATCATATCATTATCGTAGCTGCGGCATCCAAGATAACTAGTCACTCAAGGAATTCATTTAAACAAGGTACCAATATATGGATCACCTGGGTCAAGTGTGGGAGATACAGGTTAATGTAAAAGGATCTTCGTAGTGCTGTGGCATAAAGGTAAAATCACCAAATTGAGCTGAACGTGTTGAGTTTAGAAATATTTAATGAGGCACAATACAACCCTTGCTATATTAGCTTATAGTATTAATAGGATTATTGCTCAGTTGCATCATAATCTAGAGAATAGTTCTCTAAATTATGTGTCATTTACATATATTTGGAATATTTGCTTTTCATATTAAAGCGAGACCGAACTAACCCACACTGTGTGTGGGCTCTAATAGGGTATGTATTATAAAAGCTAGTCTTATAAATATGCCTTTTTAGATAACTATTGACAATACATATATATTTCAATGCTTTATTCAACATAAAGTCAATACACACACTATAATCTCCTGATAAGGGGATTATGCTGATAAGAGAGTCTGCATGGTTGAGTGAATCAATGAACACATGTAAAACACACTGTTTACAACCACAATTGGGCATATATTATAAGACTACTCTTATCAGAATGCACGTTAGGAAACAGGACAGATGGGAAGTTTAATACTCAAGGTGGAGCTTTACAGGGCTTCTGGTTCACTGTGGCTTTAAGACTTTTTATTGTACATGTATTGTTGATAGCTCAGTCAATAGAACAGAGGTCTTGTAACAGTTCCCTAATTTGAAACCAAGTCGATCTGTGCGCCAATTAATGCCCTGATTACCATGTCTCAATAGGAATTAGAGCCATCTTTTCCCTGGTCGCAGGTGGGTAAAATAAAACGATATGTTTGTATGTGCTATAATTCATTGTTGTGTACTGATCTATCCCACCACTTGGTTGTGTTCTGTGTAACCAGGCAAGATAACCGAGTAGGCAGGGAAAAAGTATGTTTTGGCAATACATAAAGGAACAGCTTTCGCGTAATTTGAGCCAGAGTTTATATGGTACATACTAGACGTACAATATTTTATTAACATTTTTCTAAGGTGTTTGCATAAATCCAACTTCATTAATGGATTAGACTGAACTTAATTGTTGAATATTTGTTACAAACTCAACCAACTTGCTAAATAAAGGATAGTCTTGCTGTGTTAGCAGATATGATAAAGTTTAAGATTGAATATAATTTGTAAATTATGTCAGTGAATTGTGGGAAATTGTTGTTATAAATGCCCAAAAGGTATATAGATTAAGGGGAAAGCTATCCGTTAATGACTGGTGGCAATGAAATTGTCAAAAGGAAGAGTAAATATTGACCTGGTGTTATTGCATATGAGATTTTGATATTTGAATAACATACGCTCCATAATTGAATCTAGGATTCATAGATCACCTCAACAATTCTCAATCACTTTGTTTCATAGGTATTTTTAGAAGCACTATATGTGGTCAAGTTCAGTACCACAGTTATTTGTATATTATGGTCAAGGTCCCTACCACATTAATTTGTGATGACACTCTATATATTTAAAGAGTTGACAGGGCAGGGACATCAGAGAAACTGAAGACTGACAGTGTGAACATTTAGGGCATGGACATTTTTTTTTGGGGGGGGGGGGCGGCGGCGGCGGCGAGGGGTATTTTTCCCCAAATAAGCACTACTATGAAATTTTTTCTTCTTCAGGGTGTTCTTGTGTCCTGCAATCCTAAAGACCATTTAAGTCATTTTTAAGAATATGTTTTACCAGGTAATTTAAAAGAATTAAAAAACTTGCCTATGTTTATATTTTACTGCACTGTTGATTCATGTTTGATCATTGTCAAAAACACTCATTTGATGGTAGAGCTCATGTACGATTGTATGCTAATTAATAACTTTTTAATTCAGGCCTACATTTAAAATTAAGTGGTGTGGCGTGTATGGGTGTGTGTGTGTGTGCTTGTGCTTTAATAAAAGAGATACTTGTAACTTATACTAAATGTTGTTATCAATTTTAACATAATAAATCAATACAAAGGACGGAAACTAGATAAAAATCACAATTTTATTATTCATTCGACCATTGATTGCACTGACAAAAGAGTTATTAGACCAAAGTTAGAAATATTATTACAGAATGACGGTTTTGAGAAGGCCAATAAATGACCTTATGGTGTGTGGGTTTATCATATATAGGCCTACTATCGTTTGTTCAGAGCCAGAAGGGCATTCGTTGTGTTAAGAGTTAACATCCTTCTGGCTCTCAGCAGACCATGATTATAAATAAAAGTAATACAGAGAGTGCGAGCATACTGGAGGGAGAGCTAGAGAGAGAGAAAGAGAGAGAGAGAGAGAGAGAGAGTGAGAGAGCAGTGGCACAACACAGAAAACTACGAAAACTTGAATAAAAGCACTACTCAATACACAATAGGCCTATATTATTCTGTCAAACTGTCAAAGGAGAGTCTGTGCTTGCATACTACTATGCCACTCTATAAGTTGAGGTGCATTTCCAATACACGCACCAGTAGGGTCTGAATCATAAAACTACTCAGACTTGAATAACACTATTTTGTCAAACTGTCAGATTAGCGTCTGTGCTTGCAGACTACTATGCCACTCTGCAAGTTGAGATGCCTTTCCAATACACGCACCAGTAGGGTCTGAATCATAAAACTACACATATTTGAATATAAAGCACTACTCAAGACACTATGTTGTCAAACTGTCCGATTAGCGTCTGTGCTTGCAGACTACTATACCATGCTATTCAATTTGGGATGCATTTCTGTAAGCACTAAAATGTCTGAATCATACAACTACTCAGTCTTGAATACTAGTACTATTGCTACGCACGATATATGCGTAATTGTTTTGTCAAACTGGCAAATCAGAGTCTGTGTTTGAAGACTACTATGCCATCGTTTACTCGTAGAACGCGAATCGTGCACAGTAGATGCGAATACATGTACATTTCGTATGGGAAGTAGCAGAGAAATCACAAGTCCACGCGCATGCGCACATGGGGTATTTGCCCTCTCGAGTACGGAAAAAAATTCGCTGGCGGGGGAGATACATGCCCCCCATTAAAGGTACTATGTCCCTTTTGCAGGCCAACAAAAATGAAACAGTTAAATTCCAACTGCATTTGAAAGATAATACTAATTTAGAACTTCCCTAAAAAAGGTGGGGCTTGAAAATGTCTTCAAGTGGGAAAATAACGACTATTAGTTGTCAAATCGACTTTAGGGCTATAGAGCCCAAAAGTAATAGTCTTGATTTTCAGACAATTGTACCGAATGGTCATACGTTTTATGCTGCGCAAAGATTCAATCAGTTTAATCTTAGCCATCACAAGAAGTGGGTTATTAATGTAGACAAATGCTCATGTACCCTTTACAACTCTTTTCATGTATGTTATTACCAAAGAAGAAAAAAGCCAGTCAGTCACTCAATAGTGTCTGACAGTAAAGTCTAGCAAGTAAACGGGTTTCCTTGCATAATTTGAATATGAGGACACTGCTAACGTTTAAATTTCACAAATAGGACATACATGACATATTCATAATTCCTGCAAAGTTCTACAGCATTTGAGGTTGGCTGCAAAAGGGACATAGTACCTTTAAGTGTGTAAGAAGCTTTAAATTGGATAGCGGACAGGGTTTTTTTAAAGTCACTTTTCGATGAAGTTACTGCTGAAGCAAAAAGAACGATTTAAGCAGAAAATATTATCATCTGATGTATTGTTGCATCGAATTTTCATAAATCTTCAAGATCTTTGAGGTTTATTTAATTTGTTATATGAAAATGAAGATGAGATATAAAAAGCAAAGCAAGAAATTATAATATATTCGCATTGGTTACTCATTGACAGACGCGTTTCAAACAGTGTGTTCTCCGTCGTCAGGTAAGGGCTCACTGTTTGAAACGCGTCGCGACTCCTGTTCATGAAAGAAAACTGTAGTTCAAAACAAGAAAAAATCTGCTCCACAGCAGAGGAATATCAACAGTTCTTTTCAGAACTACACTCTTCAATTTTCACTCTTCAACTTTTGTGATTTGCTCACAACCTTCTCAACTTCGACCACTCCTTCCCCTATCCTCACTTATTTTCATTTCACCTTATTGTACACAACTCTGAAACAAAAACAAAAAATAGTCTCGCGTATAGTAAGTGTTTAATAAAACGTCAATCCTTTATCAACACTTCCTTTCTTTCCCTTTCCTTTATAATTGTTCTTCAATTCCGCTAAACGCCCCACAAGTGGATTATTTTGACGAAATATTGATATTAGCAGCCTTTTCAACAAGGCTACGACGTGTATTACCGAAATCCTCGTTATTTGTGAATACTAGCCTTTGTTAAAGCGACTATTGCCTAAATCAATGAATTATCATTATGTAATTATCAAAATAAGGAGTTACAAAAGAGATATAAAAGAAAAGAAGATTGATTTTATGAGGGTTTGGGATAATAATCTCAAACATGATTGTGTTTCTATCATTAATGAATGTTCTAGAGTGGTACAATGGTACAATGAGTTTGAGTGTAAACCTGAGACTATTTTCGGTTTCCTTTCAAAACTGTGACAATTTCACAAATAATTTTCTTGATTTCCAAAATCAGAACAAATATTGAATAACGATCATTATGGTGAAAGAAAGAAAGAAAATTTGCGTACAGATTTTACTGGAAATTTTCTCATTATTTTGGGGGATTTGGCAACAATGCTCTAAAAGGTTTCATATTTGTCGACGGTAGATTTTTGAATGCGAGGGGATTGTCTCATTCATGTCCTTCATCCAGAGACGCTGATAGTTACATGGCGAGAATTTATTGAGTCAGGTAGTAAATACAAGAAACAATTAAAAGTTGTGTTTTGTAACCTTCAATCCGCCAAACCAAAAACCACTTCAAAGGATCAATCGATAGCAAGTGGAATTGAATAGCATGATGTCATCAAACCACATTCTTCTTACAGTGTATGGCATACAGGGAACAGAAAATGATTGTTTCTGATGTTGCTCGAGGCATGACTCCCGCAAAGCGATACATTTTCTTCCTCGATATCTTCACATAGTATGTTATTTCTTTATGAATGGATGTAATTAAAATGGGACACTGCGTGAAATTGAAATTAATGTTTTAGATCAGTTTAGCTATCTTGTGCTATATCTACATGATTATTCATGATTATTCTATTAGAGTTTCGATTACAAACTACTTCAAAAACGAAAAGTATATTGCAAATTCGTATTGAAGAAATAATAAATTCACAAGAAAATGGTTTCAATTCAGGAATTTGTTTACATAAACTGACATTTTTTTCTGTATTTTTTTTCTTTCCATGAATATCAGAAATGAATTATTGATTTGTTAGTTTTCCGTTATCTCAACAGTTCAACAATACTTGTATCTTGAGAAGCCAATTTTATTTATGTTATAAATGTAAATTACCTTGAATATATATTTGTTCTATCTATCTATCTATCTATCAGGCTATAGTTCATCCAGACGTTGGACAAAGCCCTCCTTATGAAATTTCCATTCTCTTCTGTCTCTAGCTGTCCTAGTCCAAGCGGCCGTTCCCATGTATGATGTCAGGTCATCTCTCCATCTTCTCTTCTGCCTTCCTCTTCTTCTCTTTCCCATCCTTGGTTGTCATTCTGTTAAACGATTTGTCCATCTATTGTCCTGAAGTCTTGCTTCATGCCCAACCCATCTCCACTTTGATTCTCTGACTTTCTCCATGGATGAACTTTGGAAGATACAAAGACATGTTGACCGATAAAAACATACCCATGTCACTAAGAAGAAGAGTGTTCAACCAATGCATTCTAACAACTATGACATAATCAGAAACATGGTCATTGACAAAGGATCTAGAACAGAAGCTCGTGACTACTCAACGAGCTATGGAAAGAAAGATGTCGCATTTATCTCTGCGAGACAAAATCAACCACAAAGTCATACGCCAGAAAACAAAGGTTAAAGATTTGTATTTGTTAATTTGTTTCAAATGAAAATCAACAAAATCTCTGTGGAGGGAAAAATATGGTGAAAAAAAAATTCTTGTTGACCGTAAATGTAGCTACATATGTTTCACCTGAACCATTCAGTATGAGGGGGAAAGATGTTTTTTTTTAATTGATATTTTTTTTGTTTATTTAGGTGTTTGATTTTTTTTCTTTGTTTCGTTTTTGCTGTTCAGTGATTGTTTTTTTTTCTGTTGTTGCTTGTTCTGTTTTGCTTGTTTCGTTTGTCATAAAGAAGACTGAGCAGAGAGGGAGAGAATGAGAGAGAGAGAGAGAGAGAGAGAGAGGGAGAGATAGATGGAAAGAAATAGAAAGCCGCAGGGGGCTGTGGTAGCTGAGAGAGAAGAGAGAAAGAGAATGATGAGAGAGCAAGCGAGAAAGAGATATTTTTATAAATAGACAAGACAGACAGAAAGAAAATGGAATAAGGTATCGGATGTTTAATTGAGACATGGTTGCATGAGGGGCCATACGAGGAGGAAAGTAACGATTATATCAAAGAAACCTGTACTTGTTGTTTGGTATGAGAGGGACAGAGCACATCGAGTCCATATATATATATATAGGCACGTCAATCAATTAATTCCACCGAATTTTTCATGAACTTTGAAGAGGGAGAACGTGACGTAAATTAATCATCAATAATCGTTACAATCTTGAAAAGAAAGGGATATACAATATATGTCTGTGTCCTTCTATTAGTTAAACCATAGACCTACCACCAGGTCTATGGTTAAACCGACATACTTTGTCGAATTAATCAATAAAACTCAAGCGCCTATTCATGGTAATTATGTTAGACTGAAGGACAAGCGTCACTGGCTGGCACGATAATTGTGAGATGAAATACAATTGCGAAACAAAAGTCTGTCTAGAACTAAAAAAATCATCCAAATTTATGCAATAGTCTACTATTTCTAGTTTTCTTAGACTTTAGATCCAATTTTTACCCACGCTAAAGATTCAGAAAACAAAGCGAGGGGTAATAGACCCACCCCTTCCCTTGGCTCGCACACTCTGCTGAGCTCCAGCACATACACACACTCCGCACACAATACATAGCAACGCTGTAACAATAGCCCTACCCAAGTAAACAACTTCATTGTGCGGTCTGCTATGGAGTCGGATCATGTGTTTTGCACGGGCCATTGGTCTGATTAATAACTGCTTTTTCTTATTAGTGTCCTCTAAAAATACCTTGGAAAAAAACACTAGCAAACGATAGGGACATGGGCATATCAGTGACAGAGACAATGAGAGACTGTTAAAGGAAATATACACTGGATTGAACTTTCCACGATTCCACGGTAAGATTTTTTGAAGATTTCCTAACAATTTTGCGAGGGTGCGGCCAACCCGACTCGACGCACATTGGCCGTAGCTTCAGCGGTGAGAGTGCAGTGCACAGTGCGCAGGTTGTTTCAATCAAGGTGATACGGTTTTCACCGCACCGTCTGGAATTCGAACCTGTTATCGCGTTGTTTTTTTAATTTGCTGTGTAAATAATTGTCCCGCTGGTCAAATGTCTGTCTTAAATTTGCACTATCTTTAGCTTTGTACTCGAGTGGCAAGCTGATGCAGTAGGATTTGAACAGCATTGATAATGTACTTACTACATGTAAATTAAAAGTTTTGGGCGCATGCATCCTACAGAGTACACTACAGGCATACTTTCATCTTTTGAATTGCGCAGATCCTTGAAACACGTTGAGACGACCATCCTCCACAGGGGCCCCACTCACAAGCATTTCTTGTGGATCATGTTTGTTCGTCATGACAGTGGCGGATCCAGGGGGGGGGGGGGGGGGGGGCCCCCGGGGGCCCGGGCCCCCCCCCCCCTTGAGAAAAAAATCATGTAAAATCATGTGATTTTTACCTTTTTTGGGGGTTGGGCCCCCCCCCCCCCCCTGGCGCTCAAGGGGGGGGGGGGTGCAAATTGAATTTTTTTTTGAGGATCAAAAAAAAAAAAATGTGCTCACTACCCCCCCCCCCCCCCCCCCCCCCCCCCCCCCTCCACTGAGCGAATTTTTGGCCGGCGCGGTTTTCAAATTTTCGGGAGCAAAAAAAAAAAAAGTTGGGCCCCCTCCCCTAAGAAATCCTGCGTCATGATTACTATATGCCATGTGTTTTTTAATAAACTGAACTGAACTGAATGATTAAAATCAGAATTGAAATATATTTTTTTGTTCGTCACAAAATGACATCAGCTGTATAGCTGTAGGCCAGTAACATATTACAGGTCACGTTATTGAAATAATATTAAATATAAAAATTAAGAGTCTTAAATATCTTATATGTCGAAATCACAGCACCAAGAGTACTTTTGCTATTCAATTGGTTTGATTAAGTTATTGTTCTTTAGGAGTAATTGTTCATTGTTGATGATTGTATTTCAAAGATATGCTACACGGATTTAAATTATAGATGGAATATGTATGTAGAGTGATGTTTATATGTTATTCTATTTCTAGTATATGATAAATGCATTATATACATATCTGTGTTTTATTAGATTTTCAATTTTAATTCAATTTCAGATTTATTGTTTTATTGTATAAACAAACCAACATGGCAAAAGTCTTGAAGGCTGATATTGTCATATCAACCATGATATACAAGAAAGCATGAAATTGGGTTTTATGTTTATTGATATAGTAGTTCAAATTCATGTATTAAAAAGAGGAGAAGTAGAATGTACTTGCACGTAGACATATGTAAATGAAATAAGTAAATTTGTAACAATTGAAAATTGTGTTCATATTTTTATATAATTGTGCTTCAAAGAGGCTACAAAGTTCAACTTTTTTTTTTTTTTACAAAATAAATAAAAAAAATCATTTGTACAGTATAACAAAGGTTATTAGTTGATGACTACAGGGTATGAATATAAATTAAGGTTCAAAGACAGAACTCTAACCATTTTTCATTCCTTTCCTTAACTTAATGTCTATTTTATTGAATTGAGTGAATAATTTTTTAGCCAGCAAAGTATATTGCATAGCATTTTTATTTTGCAATCTTTAAGACAACCATTCCTTTTATCTTATCACAGGTTTATATTCTTCATGAATCCACTTTCAAGATGGAATCCTGAAGGCCAGTATTTTCTTAAGCAGGATCAGGAGGTGTAATTTTCTATTGTTGACCTTGCCATTGACCTCTCACCATTCCCACAATGCTTGATCCGAGTCTGCCCTGGCTAGCCACCGGCTACCGCAACTTCAAGGAAAAAGAATTTTGCAGACCGCATTCAGCGACACACTCCACCCACAGATACTTGGAAAACGGTAGTAACCATCGAGAGCTGCGCCCCACCACACCCTCTCAGCACCTGCATCGAAGGGTCAAGAGTGCAACTCATGGGCGTGTCCAGTGTGGCACGCCCACTGTCAAACATAGGCTCTCATCACGACCCCGTAGTGCTCGGTCTACAGAGAACTTTAAGAATGAGAAAGTGGGCTGTTATAACTTTTCACCAGAGACCGTCCGAGCATTGGCAAGACGGCCCAAGAGTGCATCGGCAGTGTTGCTACGGCAACACAGACCGTCTGCAGCTCAGAATAAAAGCGTGACGCAAGTCGAACGATTTCACCACACCCAAGAGCAGCTGATTAGACAATATGAGAAAGTGACTGGAGAAGAAGTACAGCATTCATGTGCTTTCTGTCCGGTAGCGTGTAGGCCTACGTCGAGTAGCTCACACAGACCAACATCATCAACGGGGCTGCTGGCAGCTCATTTACCATCTCATCATGATAGAAGATATAACTGGACAAGGCCAAAGACAGCACCTATCACTGTAAGTTAATAAACTTTTGTCCTCAACTCAAATGTAGAGTTAGAACCATATTAGTGTGAACTATATTGCTAAGTTTTTTTTTTTTAATGTTGTCAAAAATTAAAGATATCTGTTTCATAGCTAACCCATTTGCAATTTTCCACCCTTTTGCGCTTTCAATATATCACGTTTATATTATGTGTTGTCAACCTGTTAATGACCAAGTTGATTATCAGGCAATTCTAACAGCAACATCAGGGATGTAAAGTAAAGGCGAAAGCCTTATGTGTCTTAAGCTTGACACTTGGTAGTTCAGTTGTATTCAGAAGGAACAATAAAACCACTTTTTAAGTTCCATTCATGAAAGTAGAATAACAGGTTTCTCAAACAATTTGTAGCTGCTCTTCAAGACTCCTTAATTCTATTGAGCACCCTCAATGAAAATAAGATGCATTATTTATCCACTGAGTATCAACTGTCGAGAAAACAACAAATAAACACGTTATCACCTTGTACTACAGTTTTAGTTACCAAGTTAGACATACATTAGAGTGCAAACAAGTGGACACATTAAATGACATGGTCCAGTTAATCTTAACAGACCCAGCTTTTCTGTCTTAATGCACGGTGAAGTGCAATAATCATGTCTGTACACCTGTAATATAAGAGCTCTTTGTTTTAATACGCTGGAAGAAATAATCAGTGTTTATAAGATCTATGAGACCAATGTGGAGTGTTATGAGAATAGACCTGGATGTACTTGAGGTGGAGTTGCATTCATGAGGCAAACTTTACTTGGCCGTGTTGGTTCACAGAGGGAATATTACTTTGCTTTCAAAATGTTTAGAAGTATCAAACTGGTAAGCCATTTTATTTTATTGTTCAGTGTCTCTTTATCTTTGACTACGAGAGAAAATTGAAAGAGATACAAAAGGGGAGAATTACGCATGGGTAAACAGGAATAAGTCAAGGGAGCAAAGATGTTGAAAGAATCACAAGGAACCAGGAGAGAGGGATCTAGAGAAGGAAGGAGTGAGATGGATGGGCCAATGAGGATGAATCGATTGTGGAATAAAAAGTGACCAATGGTTCATTTTTAATTAATATTTTGATATCACATTTTTTTTTCTTATTTATTTTTGCTGGCAGAAACGAGAGATCTCAAGTCTTCCCAGGCATAATAATGTAAGTCAATCTTTATATCCTGTAATGTGTTTATATATTAGAAACATCACAAAGAGATTTAAGTAGTATGTTTACATTATTATGAGAGAATGTAGACAGTTTAAGCATTTGATTTTGACAGACTTGATTCAGGAAGGCAGCTTTGTATAGATTTATATGTGTTTAGATATTGTTCATCAAACTTAATCAATTGGGATAAACTAATTGAATTATTTGATATTTTCTTCTTTTTGAAGAAAAAAAAGTAATTCAAGTTCTTACCATAAAGCCCACCTTTAATCAAAAGTATTTCAAATTTTGTATGACAGGTACAAAGAGGGAGAGTACCATACTACACCAACTTTGTTTCCAAACTTCCCCTCCATCTTCACGACCGCACCCCATCCCCTCCAGCTCCTAGGAGGAGACAAGCCTTCCAGGAGGAGGTTCCTCCACCAGTAGTCAATGATGATGAGGAGGAGGAGGAGGTGGTGGAGGAGGTAGGAGATGACTTCTTGGAGGAGGACATCAACATTGAAGATGGTAAATTATTTTTTTATTCACTCTCTCTCTCAGGGCTCTACACATTTTTGTCTCGCCTGCGTAGCAAAAAGCGAGACATAGGCGCCGCTTTTCCGGTGACGGCGGCGGCGGCGGCGACGGCGACGGCGACAGCGACGGCGTCAACATCAAAAACTTAACCTAAGGTTAAGTTTTTGAATTTTTGGTATAATTTTTAAAGTATAAGTTCTTAGTCAATGAAACTTTGACTATAGGGTAATCAAGTATCCCCAATCATAAGAGTAGAATTTCAGATCACAAAGTCAAGGTCAAAGGTCATTTCAGGTCAACAGACTTGGACTATGTTGTAGCATCATCATCGAAAACTTAACCTAAGGTTAAGTTTTTGAATTTTTGATATAATTTTGAAAGTATAAGTTCTTAGTCAATGAAACTTGGACTATAGGGTTATCAAGTCTCTCCAATCATGTGAGTAGAATTTCAGGTCACTAAGTTAAGGTCAAAGGCCATTTAAGGTCAACAAACTTAGACTTTGTTGTGGCATCAACATTAAGATTTTCAAAATGCTTCTTCTTCGTTATTTTTCAACCGATTTTGATTCTGATTGTTTCATATGATAGGGCTAGGAGGGGATTTAAAATTTCTACACAGAATCGTGAAATTCATTATCTATGCTAATTTATGCAAATTTATTCGAAATCACAAAAAAGGCTTCTTCTCCTTCATTTCTCGACCGATTTTGATTTGGTTTGCTTTATATCGTAGAGCTAACTTTGGTACACTAAACTTCTATTCAGAATTTTGAAATTGTTCTCCATTAATTAATTATGGTAATTTATGCAAATTTATTCCAAAAATAACAAAAATTGCTTCTTTTCCCTCATTTCTTGACCGATTTTGCCTTATCTGGTAGAGCTAAATTTGGAACAATAAACTTTTACACAGAATTGTGAGATTTTGCTCCATTGATTATTTATGGTACTTTATGCAAATGAAATGAAATTATGTCCCTTCCAGGGCATCAAATTTCTATTTTTGACCAGTTCAAAAGTGTACCACATAAAATTTACGATATTTGTTGTTGTGAGATGCGGATGAGCGCTACGTCATTGACGTTCTGGTTTATCATATTGAATTGCGTTATGCAGGCGAGACCGCCGAGAGCGTTTCCCTTGTTTGTTTTTTGGGGGGTCAAAATTAAATTAAGGTCTGTCTGCATGAGCCTCATGTTAAAATTAAGAAAAGGGGGCAGGGGGGGGGGTCCTGACTTGGATCTTGAGCTTTAATGTGTCCTGGGCACCTGTTAGTGTTGAGTCATAGGTTACAGAAAGATTGTGAAAAGACCATTCTTTGATACTACTATATAGTTACTTTTTTAAAGAGTGAGAGTTTGAAATATGAAGTAAATCTTTGCTATATACATGTATGATCACCGATATATATTTCTTTTACATTGTGGTTTTATTTTCATTAGACATAGCAGAGCCATTAGTTGAAGCATCAAGCCCCACCCCTCCACCAGCCTTGGTGGAAGAAGAAACTCAGATGGAGCCTCCAACAGAGGCGATGGAGGCATGGACTCCGGAAATAATAGCTCCAGTGAGTTTAATTGAAATAAAACACTAGGAAAATGCAGTAATATCCCATTGCTTGATTGTATGTACACATCAAATGTAGAACTTCTTTCATGAGATTACATTGAAATATAGATTGAGAAGCAACTTTTATATTATGATATTAAAGAGTAGACCAAGTAACTTTGTGTGGAGTTTCTGGCATGCTTAGCCAGCCAAACTCAATGTTTTACTGAATATTCACAGCTTTATTGTTATTCACATTGACTGTTTTTAGAATTTAAAATTTAATTTTGTTTCTGTGAATTGTTTCATGTTTTGGTATTCACAGTGTTGGTAATAACCCACTAACATCTTGCAAGATATACATTATACTTGCCAAGTATTATACACAATAACTTTTTTCTCATAATAGGACATGTACGGTACATTAAACGTTGTTAAACATATTTCTTGAGCAGTTGAATAGGGTTTATGAATAAACATCAGTATGTTATTTTTGTTAAGGTAAATGTTTAATGATAATTATTTGTTCCTATCCCAGACACCAACTCCATCAGTATCAAGAAGGAACTCAGTAGATGAGGAGCCACCTGTGATAGAAGAAGCCCCCACCCCTATACCCAGCCCTCCTCCCTCACCTATCCAACAGCAGCTGCCAGAAAAGCCATCATCCCCACCACCGCCCCCTCCCAAGAGCCCCTCCCCTCCTCCCAAATCCCCTACCCCACCACCACCACCAGAACTGTCTATCAAACCTCCCAGGGAGTGTGTACATAAACCCAAGCCCCCTGTCCCGCCCCTGCCAAAGGTCAAGAAGGAGGTCAGGATACAGGAGCCACCCAAAGACCCGCCCAAAGAGAAGCCGGTCGCCGTGAAGAAGGAGAAAAAGCCCATTCAAATAGTCATTAAGGTAAGAAAGACTAACATTATATTTAACATTCCATTTAATCTACTCTTCTTGTTACAGTATGCTTCCAGCTCACTTGACTCATGCCACATTTTAGACCACATATGTTTGACTTGAAATCCTCAATGTTCATGAATATTATTTATGGAAATTAATGACATTATCGGTGATCTACCACTAACTCCTGCACTAGGCTTTAATTTGTAAAATATATAGGGTTAGGTTTTTAGGATAGGTTTATGGCTTTGGTTGGATGTAGTGTTTGGTTCAGGTAGGGAGTTTTTAATTCAGATAGTGTAGATCATTGACCATGGAGTGATCGTCTCTGCAGCATGTATTGTAGAGGCACAAGATGTTTGTTATTAAGAGAACATCCATATATTGCGGAAGATTTTCATGGGAAAGAAATCAGGTATAGACAGTGAGAGGAAACATTCAAATTATATACATGAATGTACTTGTATAATTTATTATCTGATATGATTAGATTAAAAGGTAGTTGATTATTATTATTATTATGTACTGAGGATGAAGTAATCGATAGCCCTTGAATTTATCAAGTGATTCAAAGGAATAAAATTATGTACAACATCTCACAAATTTGTTTCATCATTATTATTTCATCTTTTATTCAGAGTCCACCAGAACCACTCAAACCATCCCTGAAGAAACCCCCCTCCGAGGCCAAGATAGAAGAAGTGACCCCGCCCATAAAGATTGAACCCCCTCCCTTAGCTACCCTAGAGCCTGAACCTATTGTAGAACCTCCTGTGAAACCCTTCCCTAATGGAGAGACTAAGGTGGAGGAAGAGAAGGCTCCAGATAAAACAGATAATGGGTGAGTAATGGACTCTACTTAAAGGGATTTGATTACAAGTAAATCTCACAAGAGCAGACATGAAGTCCATCAGTAAAGATTGCAGAGAAGGATAGTATGATATTGATTGATGTAGAGGTGTCGTGGTCTGGCAGATACGTCATCGCACTGTGGATTACATAGTTTGTGGGTCGAGCCCTGCCCCGGCACTAATGTCCTTTGGCAAGTTATTAATCTACGTTTGCCACCCAAGTGAAGTAAATGGGTACCCAGAAGGACACATTCCTTGAATACTTCCGCTTCTTAATCATGGGGATATTCAGTATCAGTTGTGAAAAGCAATTAAGAAATAAAAAGGAGTGTTAAAAAACCAAATGTGCTTCCATTTCCTTGCATCAATGCCCAGATTTAGTGGTGTCATTTTATGATTACCAGTGGTGTTAGTTCTTTTAATCCTTGATACTAAAAACGCATAAATATTTTGTAAAATACTCATATGGGTGATTGCACTGATTGTACATCATTCCACTAATTAATGTATGGGGCGGATAATTTTTTGGGGTCATTTGTATTAAGTGTTGCTATTTGTTCATATTTTTGGTAAAATACATTGATTTTAGCCCTCCTGCTACCCAAGAAGTTGCGGAGAAGAAGAAGCTTGGCCCACCTCCAACCAAGGTCAAAGTTGATATGTTTGGGATGGATCCTCAGGTACGTACAAAGATATAACCTTTGACCTTTAATTTACCATCTTGCTCTAAAGTGTTGTTAGTAACAGATAACTGAAATCTGTTTAATGACATATCAAAGCATCACAGAGAATAAATATTTAGCTAGGATAGATATTCTTTCATCAAAGGAAGGCAAATGAGCTTGAGTTGCTTTGGAGTTATATATATATAATCCCCTCTATTGCTATAAATATATAGACCCATTCTGAATTGCTTACACACATATATCATAAACATGATGATGGTCAATATCATTAAATGTGTGCCTTTTGTATGTCACTTCTTTATAGTTTAGTTAATGAGATAAGTTACTTAGACCTTTTTGGGAAGTTGTTTTGATTTTATTCTTTATTTTTAGGGTGGGAACGAGGTAGGAAATCAAGCATGATAGTTGTCCTTTTCGTTATCCTCCTGCTTTGTTATCTGTGATTTAAATATGCTCACTATAATGACACATGTATTACATATTGCCAGACATATTTTGTATATCATTTTTTTAAAATAAATATATGATATGTGAACAGAACACAGATAGAATACATTTTGATTTGTCTTAAAGAAGATCGGTTATTGGAATACAGTATAGGGGGAAATTATCCACTTTGGTCTCAAACTTCAGTGACATGGAACTATTGCACAGGCAAAGATATTTTATATCTTGGTTTGAACAAAGATTGAGAAATAGAAACTTCAACACAAATAGACATTCCGGAAAAAAAAACATTTTTATTTGCCACTATATGTATAGTGTACTTTCTTAACTAATCTGCATGGCATGATTATACCTTAATTTTCTAGAATTGTTTATATTTCATCTTCACATAATTTTATTGTATAGTTTTTCTTAATGATTGCTTGTTGATAAGGGCTGAGTCAAAACATTAAAAAAAATGTTGAATGTCCATTCAGAGGAAAACGGTGTACGATTTTGCAAAATATTTAACCGTAAATTGAAGGAGTAAAAAAGGAGGTAGAAATAAAAAGTCCATACATGAAGACTACAGTATGTGCACGGTTATAGGAAACCCCCATTTATTTAATATTATCAACCAGTTTTGCCGGATGAGAAAAAAATGTAATGACTTAGCCCTACTCTTAATATTTTAGCATGCATGATATGTTTATGAGTAATGGTTAAAATCTAACAGAATTCTACTGAATCCTTTAATAGCATATGATATAATTCTTTGTTATATGAGCATGAAATTCTTAGCATGAAATAATGATATCTAACTTCTCTGCATGAAATATCTATTTTGTAATATGTTTTTATTCCCCCCTGTTTAACGTCTATTCTATTCCTTCTATCTGTTCTCTTTCTGAAAACTGTCTCTTTGTTACGGATGAATCTACAGTCTATAAAAGTATGTATGCATGATTTTGCTTTTTGTTTATGCCTTTGATGTGATTTAATTCATACCCTCCCCCTTTTAACATCCATTCACTTTCATCCTACCAGTTCCTGCACATATGTCATTGGAATATATAAAGAATCATGACAAAATCTTAATGTGTTTGCTCTTTTAGTGTTTTTGGTGCTTCAGGGATATTTTCATTTGTTTCTTAACAGTTTTATACAGTTTTGCACAAATTGCTTTTCCTTTAATTGTGGTGTTTGTTTTTGGTTGTGGGTATCTTTTATTCTCAATATCAGTTACCACAATGCGAATAGTAAACATCAAAAGAATGACCACTTGAACTGCATGTTAAATCATATTTTGCATGTTAAGAGCCAGGTTTGATTAAGGGTATGATTTACCCCCCCCCCCTTCCCCCTCCCCTCATCCCCCAGCTGGCAGGAGCTAGATGATCATGTCCACTTACACCACAGTATAATTCCTATAGTTCTTCGTATATTAATCCACTGATGCACTCATATATGCTTGGCTTAATGCACTTATTTACCAAACCATTTATTCCTTCATTTTATAACCATCATAGTATTACCTACCTTTAATTCATTTAGGGATATTCGTCTATCCACATATCCCGAATCACGTGCACTCCTTCCTTTATCCCTCGCATCCATCAATCAGTCTTTAAGAAAGGAGATCCTATAGTACAGAGATTGTAAGGTCTCTTTACTCCATATTTTTATCCATCCGTCAGTCCACCGTATATATGTATGTAATTCATATGTTTCATATTCTGTCAAATGCTCAACAAACAAATCCTCCCCATCCCCTTTGATTCCTCAGTTGATCACCGAAGAGATTTGCGGTGCTCAATAATAAGGCCCTGTGCATGCACATGATGCTGTAAATTTCAAGAAAGAAATGCAGCAAATTAAAAAGAATTCAAGCATAGTGCATTGACATATGATCATGTACATCTTATAACACAAAAATAGGTCATTATGTTGTGTTGTGCACAACTACTGTTTTTCTTCTTTATTTTTCCAAGTTATGTGCGATGGAGGATTACACTGAAACAGTGAAAGCAAAGAGGGAGCATTACATCAATTCCTTTGTCCCCATAGTTTTCATCACAGCACAGGCTTAAAATATAGCACCACAGTTGAATGTTTCTTTGGCTTTTCATTTACACACTGCCCCTTGTCCTCACTCTCACCCCCACCCCACCTCCACTCCATAGCATATCTTTTATGTAGTCTTACCTACATATTTAGTTTTATATACATGTACACCCATTTTGTTGATTTTGAGTGGACAAAACAATAATGAAATATTGTCCCAGACTTATCCACTCAGTTATCACTTCTAAACATTTCCTGGCAAAAATTTTTAAAAAGCCAAACGCTGCATGCCTGCTGTAGGATCAAATTAAGCTAGAAAGTATCAGTAATGCATGACATTCTAATTCAATATTTGATAACAAGATCAAGAAGTGAATAGAAAGTAAAAGTGTAAGAACATCACTGACTTCTTCAGAAGTCTTACTCATACTTCCTGTGGTCACTGTATATTTACGTCATCACCACATATTGATGATAGGTCCACTCCCCAGTTCAAAGTAAAACCACCATGTTCAAGGTCTTGTGGTCAATGTTTATTCTTCCTGGTATAAGTAGTTTTCACTTTGAACTTCAGTCGCACGCAGAGATCACAGCAGAGTGCACAGTCACCTTTAAACTTGCTGTAGGTTTCATCTCATCATTATTATTTTTGTTTTGCTTCATCTATTTATTCACTTATTATATCATCAGAATTGGACTTAAGTTTCTAAATGCAATTTGGCCATCTCATTCCAAATTTTCCTGAAGTTCTGGGAAAAAAGTGTTCCAATAAACTTTGAACTTTGATCCCTTCTCCAGCAATTACTTGACCTCCAGATGAGAGCCAAGCGCCAAGGTGGTAACCAATCAGATGATGAGGATGGACCTCACCCAGGCCTTGCTAGCCTACTGGAACCAACCAATAGGGTGAGTGAAGAAATTCCTCTCTATGCATATTCATTACATGAATATTCATGTTCATGGCACTGTCAACGTACAATTATACTGTAACTTGAAATCTTGAACCTTGATAAGTACTCTCCCAATAAGCGAGTATGCTGTCCTGGAGAGGGCTTAATGTATGCCATGGATGGGGGCATTTTATTGTATTATGTTATTTATTTATAATGAAGTACGAGTAAGAATGGAATAGTCCTGAAATTTATAGACCATATTTGCTTGATCATAGGCATTTTGTGATTATAGGCTTTCCAAACAAGGTTGGCTTGAAACACCAGACTTTTTCATTTGTGTAAAGATCTCGTTCTCAATTCTGTTTTGGAATTAATTAAAATTCAACATCTTTCTTGAATGTAAGTTAAGAATAATTCATGATTCAAGGGAATACAACTTTAAAAACAGTATTGTTTGTACAGATGGGAGTGAATCTCTCTCCCATGTAATCTTCAAATTGATGACCTCTAGTAAAACTCAAGTTATTGGTTCTGTGAGCTAAGAAATATTATTAGAATTTTCCATTAATATCGATATTTTTGGTTATATGGTTAAATTATTCCATGCAGATGTTGAAACAGAGTGACTGGTTAAGGGGTCGTATCGCCCTCTCTAGACGAGCGGCTAGGTTTGAACTTCCTATGGACGTTGGTGATTTGGCTAAGATGTCTCCCGTAGAATACCTGCGCAGGCACTGCATCATCAGCCAACGCAGGCGGGCGCTATACAAGAAAGCTTTTGTGAAGGTGGACAAAGACAATGATGGGAAAATAAATCGAAAGGTGAGATTTTTTTGACATATTTTATTTTGTTTAGAAAGCCTTGCCCAGAGGTTTTCTCAGTAACTGCTTTATATGGGAATTTACAATGCAATTTTATAACTTTCTCGTTGAATGATAACTGCAATACTAGAAGATATATCCAGATTATTATACTTTCATTTTTTTAATTGCTTTGAAATTGTATAAATGATAGTTACAGTACAATGACAAAAGTGTATATGATCACAAATTATTAAAATACCTGTACTGTTATAAAATTAGATATATTCTAAAGCAAATGGAACTCTTTGATTGCATATTAATTTATTATCTAACCTGTAGAGAAGATGATAAAAAATGATATTTAGAGTTCTCATCTGCTTCCGGAAACGTGTGTTTATTCAAAGTCCTGGTAGTGGTTTTGAAAGAAAATTAATGTAAGTTTCTGGAAATCAAATAACTTCCTTCAAGATTTGTTGACTTCTTTTAGTTTACCAATGGTTGCCATGGCATTGTAATGATGTAAATTATTAATTTCTTTCTATTGGTGTTGCGGTCTAGTGGATAAGTCATTGGACTGTGGATCACTAGGGTTCGCGGTTCGAGTCCAGCCACAGCACTAATGTCCTTTAATCTTCATTTGCCACTCTCCACCCTGGTGTTAAATGGGTACCGGTGGGAAGGAATTCCGTGAATGCTGTGAGCGCCGAAATTGGCTGCCTAGCTAGCAGAGCTGGGGTAAAAGTTGGAGCGCCTTGAGCATCATGCATGGTGGATATGTGCCCTATATAAATATCCAATATAATCATTATTATTATTATTGTCTTCTTCTATAGGAGGTAGAGAAGGCAGTATTAGATGCTTTGGTTGACACCATTCAACCAGACAAGGTAGCCGTTGTTCTAGGATACCTTGGTGCGGAGGGTGATACAGTCTTCACCTCAGGTTTCTTTGGTGCCTTCTGTGCACTTCTTGAAAGGCTCTACTACAGAGAGTTTACGTAAGTAGTCCTTAATCATGCATCTAGAAAACAAGACTTTTTCAGTGGCAGATCCACACAAACAATTTGCAGGGGGCTCAAAATCCTTTGACAAGAAAGAAATATAAAAGTTCAGCAAGTTTTCGATGTGTTTTAGTGGTGGTTATTTTACCTGACTGCTAAGAAAACATAAAAGCTTGTTATTAAGCAACCAGAGGACCAACAGCTTAAGGTCCTCTCCGAGAGACATGGTAATGAGAACCAATGCCTTACCAAAGGGCACTAGCGTATCGCCTTGGTTTCGAACCTGTGTCGCCGGATTACGAGACCACTACTGTATTCACTACTTAATTTTCTGACGAGCTAGCAAAAAAGCAAAACCAACAGTCATTAGCCCATGAATGTTCTTTTTGCCATCCTTTTTTCGCCATTTTGGGGGAAGGGGGGACCCCTGGGATCAGCCACTGATTCTATGGCATGGGGGATTTTTTTTTTTACTTTGGGTCATAAATACTAAGAACAACTTTGGAGGTCATTTACAACCAGTCTCTCTTGTGGACATGCAGCACCCCTGATCTTGTCTAATCTTGTCAGATGGATAAAAGTTCTACTTTACTATAGTAATCCACTTTACTACTTCAGTAGCAATTTGTGTTAAGGTGCATAGTCTAATGCTTGTAGGGGACTCTATATCAAGGAAATTCAACATACCATAGGGTTTGAATTATCAGGTGGGCTGTATCTATACAGACCACCTTATAATTTTGTTAAAATTGCCTTTATTATTATTTATTTATTTTATTTCTAACCACTTTTTTGTTAACAAGATAACTTGAAAATGGCTAAATCAAATAACTTGAAATTTGGCACACATATGTATAGGCATATGGAGAAAACACGGTAAGGTTTTCAACCTTGACCTTGACTGATGACGTCATCTAGGCGCCATTTTGTGAAATTTTCTGAAAATCATCTCTTGATCATATCTTCATAACCAAAAGGTATTTCTCATTCATATTTATCATGATCAAGGTCAATATCAGTCCGGTCAATTTCAGGTCAAAAAACGCGCGTGTGCGCGTACGTCCGCGCGACAGTGCGCGCGCAAAAATTTTAAATGCTCATAATCGTCTCAAATTTTTTTGGCATACGTTTCAGGTCATTTTAAGCAATTTATAAAAAATCGCGCGTACGAGCATGCGCGCGCGTTTTCGCGCGTAACACCATTACACAACATAGAATCGCCATTTTTTTTCTTTCATGATATTTCTCATATGTTTTCAAGGAATTTGATACCATGTTTATCTCTTTATGACCATTAATAACAAGATGAGCGTCAATTCAAGATAAATTTCCGTGCGTGCGAGCTCTTTTATTACATAGCATATATGGGCAAAAACATGCCTATACAAAATCCATTATAGTTCTTTGGAATGAACCGTGACCTTCAATGTTTTTTCATATTTAGATAGAGTATGAGTCGGAAATATGATTCCATGTCTCATTTGGCCATTAAATGTATCGTGACATCATCATAATGGCCTTGGAACTCAAAATACGAATTTGCATATAATGACGTCAGCATATTTATGTAACATTGATTGTATCTCTGTAAATATTGATCGATTTTCTTCCAAATTTCGATATGATGTAGCTGAGACAATTCTTTACAAGCTCGGGCAACACCATTTTTCATTTTGATGCATCATCATAGTAAAAATTACGATTAAAGGGCACATATCAGAAATTTCTTATGTTGCGTGTTATGCCTATGGAAGGTGAATTTCGTTTACATCATTACATCAATGACATTGTTTTTTAGCAGTATCTCGCTTATTTTTGCTCTATTTTGTCTCAAATTTTAGTTGACCAGCCCACCTATACTTGTTCCAAACAAGTATTATGTCTAGTTATGATTATTATTATCATGTTTTTGTTCGATGTTGTTGAGAGACACAAATACAGTGTATAATATAAAGCTAAACAATATTTAACTGGAAAGAGCATATATGAAAGATGAATCATTCATCAGAATATGGCATTTTATTAAAAGTAGCTTGCATATGTATAAGGAATAATATTCTATAGATTAACCCTAAAACAGACTACATGTAGGTCTTGAGCTACATGCTAATGCTAGTGTTTCAGCGGTATTTCAAATTCAGAGTTGTATTTATATTTCTTGTATTTATTGATAAGCCATTGATAAACCATTATATCTTCATGTATTCTGAACATCCACCAATGTTTATTGCTTCATGTGTTCCTACAGGAAAGATGACATTGGAGAGAAGAAGGATACCAAGGAGAAGGAGATACTGGAAGAAGCGGATTTTTCTGGTTTGGACTGGAAGCTACATGGACAATATGTGAACCCACCTCTGAAGAGTCTTCTGTACATGCTGTGATTATAACATGTGTCTACATGGACAGAGAAGCATACCTCTAAACCAGAATATATCTGATTGAAGTGGTTTATTCTGGTTTGTACCCGTTGAACCCCCATTCGAAACAGGGCCTTCGATCTCTACATGCTATGAACCCTTCTTTGTCATGTAGGACAGCTGTGTATACGAACTGGACTATATCCAAATCATGAAGTGGACTAAAAACCGGTTTTGACTGGATGCCGCAAAGGCAGTATATGAACCCAACTGTAGAGAGTGCATGATTTGAATACAGTTGTATCATCTTGGACATGCAGGAATCATTAAGGAGGAGATGGATTTATCCAGTTTGGACCGAAGGCAAGTTGCACACGCATAATACCTCTGTATATGTGGAGTGGGAATAAAAGCTGTATCATCTAGCAAGGATAGAGGCACAGGTCTCTGCACTCAAAATTTCCTCTTGTTTGTGGATAACTTAACCTCTATTCTCGTGATCATTTATTAAAAAGTTGTATGTTGGAGAGCTATATAGGACGGCATTAACTTTAGTACGGTAGATGTAAAAAAAGAAAATGAAATATTGCTTGTCTATCCTTTGAAAGACAAAATGATCCCCTCTCCTGTATTTGATTGTGATTGGAGACATATTGAACATGGGAGAGTGGCAGAAAAAGAAGAGTGGCAGAGATCATGTCTCGGAAGGTGGTGAAGAAGTTAGTCTTAACAGTCCAAAACACATGCTCCAGGGCAGTGTTTCACAAAATCATCATAAGTACAAGTTTGCCAACAGCCTATGAAAACATATCTAATAAATTGGACACCGTTTCAATGGGATGTTGGTGAACTTGAACTCTTGACGGTTTCGTGAAACGATGCCCAGGATCCTTCCTTCGTATAAGTAAAACAGTATTGGCATGTGAACAAAACAGAATGCAGTTTGGAAGATCGACTGTTTCATGGTGCATCCTTGTATCTCCTTTATGCAAGTCTTTAAGGCTAATTCAAGAAAGGTCTTTTAGTTAGTAAAACTTATCATCTTGCCTTTGTTGATGGTTGTGTTTGTTTTTGGTCTGTTGATAACCAGAGAGGTGTTAGCTCTGTGAAGTTCATAATAAGGTAATGCTCTTCAAGCTCACAGTAGACAACGATGTGTAGATAATGCTTTTATGTGGTTAGGGGAGGTGTGGAAGTGTGCCTGGGACATTGGGTAGTTATATCATATTGGGGTATCAGGGTATATATCTGGGTATTTTTGCACAAAGTTTGAGATACGTGTAGACCGATTTTACTTTATTGTACTTTTGAATGAATGCTCAACTCTTATGCAAGTGGAAAAATAGTCATCAGTACTTGTCTATTTATAATGTTATTTATTTTATTATGTTGAAATCCCTTAGTTCTCCTAAAAAGGTTATTTATATTTATCAGTCTTTCTTCTTGATGATTCTTTAATGCTGAGATTGTCAAGCACAAATCTTTGGCAATATCAACCTCATGGTATCTCATTCACTATAGTTCAGTGTGCTATCATTTAAGATTACTGATACATGTTTGTTTTCATGTTGAAATATTTCCTTTAGTTTTTGTTTTATTAACTCTATATTAAAGCAACTCAAGGTTTAAATAAAATGTATGCTTTTGAGATGGGTGTTTACTTTGTGTATACTAGAATACAGTACTAGTTTTGGTAGTGGATAACAAGCAGAATGGTTGAACCATGATATTTTCAGTGCACTTTTGGTGTGTGTAAACTTAAGTGGGAGTTCTGTGGAATAGATTTTTGGATTACTATTTGGTGAACATTCAAATGTGTCAAAATCAATTATTATAATTATAATTATTATATTAGTATGAGAGAATTTAAGTATTTCCTTTAAGAGCCAAAGTACTACATAGATCTTGCATCAGTCCGATTACCTCTTGGATTGTTCAAAATATCTATATTTCTGCAACTGTTTTATCTAAGCTGATTCATTTGATATTTGTAATCACAGTTATGTACTGTTTTATATATTGAAACAGAAGATTAATTACTGTTCAACCTTACAGTTGAGGAACTTTTCCAAGCAATGACATTCTTTCAAAATATATTGATTTAGATGTAGATTTCAAGTGAAATCAATCAATTGTGAATACATAGAAATATACTGATGTAATAAATAGATCTATTTTTAAAACTGAAATAAATGCATATGTTTGTCATTGTTAAAGTATGAAGTTTTAACATAAACAGCACATAGTATAATGAAGGGGGTTAATGTAAGAAAGTGCACAAGAGGGACAGAAAGAGAGAGAGAGAGAGAGAGAGAGAGAGAGAGAGAGAGAGAAAGATGGACAGAGAGACGGCCGACAGACAGAAACAGAAATATAATTTCATTGAGGGAAGAGTCCAAGCCAGTGGAATGTCTATTTGTGGGGCCGGGCAAATAATACATCCCCCTCCCTCCTCTCTTTGGCTATTTAAATACAGCATAAATGGCATGTAGATTTGAATATATTGTCATTTGGCTAAATACCATTTGATTAAATTCTCGTCTAATCCCATTTTGTTTTTATTAGTCAACCCGTTTGCTTTGGCCTGTTATCTAGCTGATCTAATGATGATTAACACTCGTTTCGTTCTTTTCCATGTCGTTCAGCACGTTAGCATCTATTCCAATTTCTTGTCATTTACAGTGGCGAATCCAGGATTGTTGTTGTTGTTGTTTGGTATTATCGGCGTTTCATTCTTTTTTAGAATATTTACGCCTTTCACTTTATTTCTTTCTTTTTTTTTTCTTCTATATTTTGGTACTATTTGTAAATTCATACTCATCTCTTTTTTTTTTTGGATAATATAATCTCAGATCTACTGGTCCATGAAAACCCCTCACCGCAATTGGCACCTTCCTGCCAGACCGGCGCGGTACATTGCGCAATCTTCTCGGCCATCATTGGCCTAGGCAACTCTGGTGCCGGTGAGAGGATTCTGGGGTAGATCTCCAGAGTCTCTTGTTTGGGGTTTACCGTCCTCAATCCGTCTTTACTCTTTCTTACCTTTTCTCTTCTAGTATTTTTCCATTTTGTAAAACCTTATTTTTCTATCAAAGTAGGTATCAACATCTTAGGGCATTTGGTTGTCGTGCGATATGTGCAAAAAAAAAAAAAAAAAAAAAAAAAAAAAAATTAGGAACACTCAAAACGCCTCGTTCTACGAACGAAGCGGATCATTGCTCTCTGGGTCGCACTTTCTGTTGATTTTAGGAGTTTCATAATTTCGTTTGGGCTCGTTATATCACTTTCCATTATCAGCATTGCTCTTTCTATTGTATATGTTGGACATTCCATCAGATAGTGTGTTATTGTTTCAGGGGTGTTACAGTATTTACAATTTTTGTTGGCTTGGCCAGGTTGGGTTGTTTGGGATACCCATACTTTTGAGGGGTCTGCGTTTAGTCCTATGTTGCAAAGTCTGAGCCTACGAATTATGACTTCGCAGTCTCTAAAAAGGGTGCTCTCAAAGTTATGTTGAATTGTTGGTTTGAAAGGTCTTACGTTTGTTTTATTGTAATTTTGCCATGTTTCTTCCCAACTCTTGTATAGTTCTATTTTCAATACTGCTTTCATTTCAGACAAACATAGCTTGTTATTTATTTGTATTTCTTCAGTTAGGGCTTGTTTTGCGAGAAGGTCCGCTATTTCGTTTCCCTGTATTCCACAGTGAGAGGGGATCCATTCTAGATGGACTTGAATGCCTTTGTATGCCAGTCTTGTGTATATATACTTGATGTCGTTTATGAAGTTATCTGACTTATCTCCTTTCATTGATTGCATTGAGAGGAGTGCGCTGAGGGAGTCTGTGAATATCACAACCCCTGCGTGCAGGTTTAGTTGTTCAACCCATAATAGGGCAATTGTTATTGCTGCTAACTCTGCTCGGTAGCTTGAGGTATGGTCTGTAAGACGTTTAGATTGTCTTATTGAAAAATGTGGGACAAAAAAGGACGCAGCTGCTGTGCCTGATGGGCTCCAGTTTCTGTGGTTACGTAGCACAAGCACAAGTAGCACAAGTACGAAACTGTGTGACAACCAAAACAAAACAAAAAATTTAAAATTCAGATCTCAAGTTATGGCAGTACTGAAATTGCCATTCAGTTGATTTATCGAAGGTATTTGTGATTGTGTGACAGACGGACAGGATCACAAAAAGTTAGAGAGTAGAGGTGGGAAAAGGATCAATGGCATGGGGAGTGCGTTAGAGAAAGAGCAAGTGAAAGAGAGGGATGGTTAAAAAGAGCAGGCGAGAGACGTCATCGATGTTGGAATGATTGCTGGTTTCTTGCATGAGTAAGATGGCCTCTCGTGGTCAAGGATGTCGCACGCCGAGTTCCGTTGTCTACTGGCCTTGCTGCATAAGATCGAGAGATCGATGGGGGTGATAATGCAGTGACGTCGCACGACGAATTCCTAATTACTTCGGAGTTGTTGTTAGAGATGAAGAGATCAGTGGGATGATCGTTAACGTCGACTTTGCTCGTTTGAAGTACTACATTCTGAGGTGGGCTGCGACGATCAAGCCTTAGACGCCGGTTCAGAAACCAAACCTGGAAATTAAAGAGCAAAAAATGAGGGAGTTTCATTGTTACACAGATATAATGAGAGAGTATTAATAATATACCATTGATATATGTGAAGTTCTTTTCAATTTTGTACGCCCCAGTCAAACAAAAAACTATTTAAAAACGGTCAACTCAATTTATAATATTGATTATCACATATAGTGGCCTCTATTGTTGTGTGCGTATCTTCACAAGTTAACGATGTTAGCGTTCTGTGACAACAACAAATATGATGATAGAAGAGAGAAAGCAAAATTTGATATCTATTTTATGATCTGACCTAATAACAATACTTATACTATCTCACATGAATCAAGAGGTTACTGAGTTTGAGTGTACGTGCCAGCCGATCTCTAGTAGTGATATCAGGACGTGTGTTGATCATGAATTCAGCTTCTAGAATCTCGGTCTGCTTCATCATCAGTTGATGGCAGGAGGAAGGACTCATGATTGTCATGGAGATGTTCATCATCTGGTTTGAAGTTGAAATGGAAAACTCCGAAATGAAAGATAGACTCGCGATTTTGGAGGTCTGAATGTCTTGGGACTGATGGTAATCACGAGAATGTGCTTTCTAATAACGTGTTGCGAGAAGAAGACTTTCTTTTAATGCATGGGCGCGTGTCTCCTTGCGCATGCATGGTAGATGTCACCTTACTCAGCATTGTTTAATCATTAACCTTTGAGTTTCGATAGAATGCTCCTAATTACCGCACATCCTAATTGTCCTCAACTAACAAAAGCTTTCGGTGATGGAGCGGGATTATAGTCGCACCATCTAAAAAAGTCCTTTTCGGCATGGTCGGCACTTTTCCTGATGGTAGGTTTAAAAAGGATCAAAGAGTGTTTGGAAACAATGAAACGATAATAACCTGAGGATATCCCTCTCTAAGCCGGATCTTTTCTCAGATAATATAATGACTATACTCCTGTGCAATCCTCCAAACGATCCCTCGAATAGAACGACAAGATAACTAACCAAACTATTGAAAACTGTACACTGACTAGCTAGTAGTAGTACTACTATAATAACAATAACAATTAGTACAGCCTGTAATGTCACAATATTGAATCCCGTGAGATAATTGTGCCAAAATTGATTTTTTTTGGCTAACTTTGTCAATGTGGGGGTGCTGAATCCAAAAAACTTTGGTACCATTTTTTTCGACCACGTCTTAGGCGGCCATTTTGAATTTCAAAATGGCCACCATAAAAAATGCATTTTTTACCATTATTTCATATTATAGACATTGGAGAAGGTGCAAATGTGGGATAAAATGTATGCTTATGATGTCTGATATATCAATACACATTTTTATAAAATTTTGCTTTATTTCGATTGGCCGCCATCTTGAAATTCAAAATGGCCGCCATTGCTAATCCTATTTTATCTCATGTCTCAAGTTATAAGCACCTGGAAAGGTTTGTACAGTAACATTATCATAATATTGATGCTATGTGTGTTTTCAAACAAAACACAAGCTCCCAGTAACTGACCATTCGAATTGGCCACCATTTTGAAATTCAAAATGGCCGCCATGGAATAACATTTGCTATATTAATTAATTTGAAAGTACCTTAGAATCATCCATTTTGAGAGATCATCTGTATTTAAAGCTTGCAGGACCTGGTACATAGAATACCGGCTGTCATCTTGATCATCGTATATATGCCTAAACGCATCACCCCCCCCCCCTTCTTCCACCCGGGGGGGGGGGGGCTTAATTATAACATATAACAGTTACTGAATGTGGTGTTAAAGAAAAACTAGAAAAATAAATGCCTTGGACTGGACGTATTAAAACTTCAGTGTGCAAATACAGGCCTGTTATTCCAGAGATAAGACATGATGAGACACGCATCACATCAGAATGCAGTATCACGTGTCTATGCAGATTGCCAGCATACATCTTTGATATGACATGTGCTCCCCATGTGCTCTCACCCACGTGGATGTATGTGTATAGATACATGAGAGAGCAACCAAACTTCAATCTTCCACAGGGAACAAGAACTGGATTCTTCGAATTGGTGAACTCCATGCCTGCTAATTCGCATCACTGCATGCAATTGCAAAATATCTCGAGGACAGTGGCTTGGAATCTATTAGCATTGAAGCAGGCCTCTTTTCCCCTTCAACGATCCGCCAAATATTCACTGGAAAGTGGTTCAAACGTGGTATTGAATTCCACATGACCAACATCATGGCGTGCTATGATCTCCTGTTTGAAGCAGTACATCATGAGCACTTGGACAGCATGATTAAGAAATGCGAAGAGCTTCGTAAGAAGTTACACGAGAGAGATAGTGACATTAAACAGGTTTTTGAGGAGGTAACTTCGATGATTAAAGAGCATTATCAAACCACAATCATCCAAGAGAATGACGAGATGGCAACATTCTTACTCAACTACATGAAGCAAGTTGAGAGTTTACTGCATGTGATTCGAGCTAGCAGACAGGGGAACTGGGAGCTGCATCTCGCTTCCATGGAAGATCGACAGGTCAAGTACTACTTTGCACATGACTTATACAAGTATGCTTGGCTCGTGCCAATCCCGGCCCCCCCCCCCCCCCCCCCACTC